CTGTGATGTACAGCTAGGAATGCTGCAGTCCCTGTTGCAGTCACTGTGTCCACACACAGAGGCGTTGTTCTAGAAAATTATGGGGACTAAGGTGAACCTCAGGTGCCAAGTTCATACATACTCCCATATCTAGTTTACATTTATCTCCATGACTGCTTTTAGGACTTGCAGCTCTGCTTGCAGCATCCAAACAAATCACATTTAAACTGCAGCAGAGTAATCCATTTCCATGGACTGCACTGTTTTCACAAGATTTTGGATAACATCTTCATTCCAAGTTTTGTTACTACTGATTAAATTGCTTTAAGATTGAGCTGCTGGAATATCTCAGAAACAACCCACGTGTCAAGTTTCTGTTATGACAGATAAACACAAGGATAGCTCCACAATAAATACTACTCATCTGTAGTTGGTGCTGACTCAGAAAGGAAGCAGTTCAAACAATTCCAAGCAGGCCTGAGCTATGCCAGGCATCGGGTCATTTATCACTTCTCATAACCATAGATAGCATGATGGCCTAAGGTTAAACCCCCCCTTCCCTGCATGTTCCACTGCCCACGTGGGTCCAATAATAGGTGAGATGCTATTTGGCACCACAGCCCTGGTCATCTCTGAGGAAGGGGCTTTGATAGCACTGCACATGGTAGTGCTTTTCCTTAGCACTTAACTGTTAGCAATGCAAAGGTACAGAAAACAGTGAGCTGCTTAAGATACATCACTGAATGATAACCACAACCCAGAATTTCAGGACTGAAGATAAACATAGGATTTTGAGTGCATAACACCACCAAACACAGCAAAGAGATAATTCTCTTCCCCTCCTCCTCTTTCTGTTGCACACCTCTAAGATGATGACTAGTTTTTACTCCACACACACCAGTTTTTCAAGTTATGTGCAGTAAGGAAGTTACCTTTACCTAACAAAGGACAGCTATTTTGAGACATTTACCGCCTCTACCTTTCCCTATTAGATGAGCTTGCCATCCCTTATTTCCAGTGACACAGAGCTGCAGGGAACAGGCTGTAGAAGAGGTAAGAGTGGAGCCTTACTGCCATGCATTTACCAGACAGACAGTATTGGAGAACACAGGATCTACAACTGAGCTCAAAGCCAGTCTCTCATTTCCAGATGCAGTGCTCTTTCATCTTCATACTGCTATTAAAGGACTCTGAAGCAGTTGTTTAAAAATGGTTCTTAGGATTGCTGTGCAAACCAAAAATGGACAACCAGAATAAAGCAGACAGCAGCCTTGCATAGTTTGTAGTCCAAACACATGTCATCAGATACAGGGAAAAGTTAAATCCTCTGAAGTTTCTCCTAAAGGTAGTATAAGAACTACCCACAAAAGATACCATTTTAATTGACGTGGTAAGACAAGCCAAATAAAAGGTTAGATAAAACATGGGATGGTTTACTTTTGCATAAAATTAGACCATATTTCATGACACGTACAGGCTGCAAGTCCAAAAATCACTCAGATTCCTCTTTCAACAACACATTTTGCTAACAGTAGGTTAAGTTACAGTAAATTCACAGAAACAGCTACATCCCAAACACACATACAGAAAAAGAAAAACCAAAAGAGTAATTCCTAAATTAAAGCCAGAAAAAAAATTGAAAGTAAAACATGTCCTTTCTGCAAGATTTTTAGGAAAGCAGGAATCTGCTGCTTTTGATATTTGGGGCAAGACTGAGACACATCAACAGGTTTCAGCAAACACTAGATGACTTCAACAGCATGCTTACACAGCAGCACCATTTCAGCTCTCATTCCGTGCATATCCACACTCTGCAAAGAGTGCCACTTTTAGAAGCTCCTTATCCCCCCAAATTCATTCCTATGTTTCAGGAATAGAAGAAATCTGAAACACTGTCTCAGGAAGTGAAATCAAAGCAGAGCTTCACGTGTTCCCAGTAGGAAAGTCAGTTTAACAAGCAGCTACATTCCCCAGCCAAATGAGTTGAAACGATACTCTCATACCAGTTTGTCACCCCATTCTGCTGCATGCAAGGAAAAAACTGCTGCCCCCTAATAAAAGATGCCTTTCATAGATTCAGAATAGTTAAAACTTGCTAAGAAGACGTGTATTTTGTTCTGGAAATCAACAGAGCACAGCTTATAGCAGTGGCTGTGTTTGCAGTGCAGCTGTACTAGCAGTGCACCACACAGAAGAACTGCAGCTCCTGACAGGATCAGAAACAAAAAAAAAGAACCCACAGCCCTGAAAATACAAACCTCCTGTGAGTGGTGCAGGCTTGCAACTAATTGACAGCTGAGAGGTGCTAACACAGTGCCAGCTGGTCAGCAACTTCCCAAGCAGGCAGGGAATTCACTACCTGTAATAACAGCCAGCAAAAAAAACGCAGAAATAAAAAGTTTTAAAAGAAGGCTTAGATGTAGGAAAGAGTTCAGATGCAGTCACCAACTAAGCTGTACATTCTTGCTAACGGTACCTGTTTGTAGCTAATAACATTTAAATCAGAAGACTGAGGGCATTAATGCCTTCACAAATAATCAATACTGATGACCTGCAGTCTTGTTGGCTGAGGCTGAAAATTAACTGTAAGTGACTGAATTAATTTAGACAAGCAAAAGCAGTAGAAGAAAGAACATAACTGCTGTCCTCACAAGTTTTCTTTTGCTGAACATCCTTGCTTACAGAAGTAGTTTTGCTTCCTTGTGCATGGCTGCATGCTAATAGTGACACACACATTGCTTTCAGCAGGCTGTGTCTCTGCCCACGTTCAGCTGGGTGATGCTGTCCTACAACCTCTGCAATCCATGATTTTAATTAACAGCTTATCAGCACCAACAAGCTTGAAAGTGACAGCTGTGCTGGTCCAAAGACTCAGCATCAGCATTAGAACAGTGTTTTCTTTCTCTACAAATAGGGAAACATGCACCTTCTTGAAATCCAATGTGAGCAAGCCAGTTATCAGTGTCTTAAAAGCCTGTGTATATGAAAACATGGCTCTAATCTCTATACTTTTCCTTCCGTACTTTTTTAAACATAGCTATTTCTGCAAGTATTACAAGGGAAAAAAACCTTCCAAGATACCAGCAACAGGTAGCAAAAGCAAGGACTCCACAGATTGCCCACCAGTAATCACTCAGAACATTAGTTTTAAACAAGACAGTAGAAAACCCACTGCTCTCAATCTTCTAACACAAGTACTGAGAAAATAATACAAGTTGCTTTTTCAAAAAAGAAACAACTGATTTTAGTTCTCCAATTGGCATCAGTGAACACCTTAGACAGGAACAGCATTAGGCAGCCATTCAGTGTACATGCACACCTGAGCTGTATCACAGCTTTCCTGCAGGATAACAGTTGTGCTGTACTGCTGCTTTCCAGTAGCACACTGAGGACAGAAGATCTGCACCCACTTCCCTAGTATGGTTGTAACAGCCTCACTGTTGTCATCAAAGGAAATGCGTGGTCATGACAAGTAATACAGGAAATTAAACAGATCTGTAATTAGACCCTTTGCTAGGCAAACTTTTATATGCAGATACATTAACAGAACACGACAAAGTATGCAAAAACTGGCTTTAAAATCCAATGTTTGGTCAACTTGAGCCATGGGCACCCATCCACAGCTGCTCTCATAACAGAAAATTCCACACCAGGAAAAATAAAGTCTCTGAATACAGCTCTCATTATGCCCAACCATAAGAATACCATATCAATCTTTAATTAAAAAAAAAAAAAAAAGAGGGAGAATGTTTATGTCTGGAATTAAAAGATGGCATGGCAAATACCCAAACATCTCCCCTGGGCTAACACGGGCGAGGATGAGAGCAGCAGTTCTATCAGCTGAGAACTGAAACTTCTCTCGCATGAGGCTGCTACTAACAGTTTAGTTGGTGCACTGCTAGTTCCTGTCTTAGAGCACACAGAACTGTAGTTAGGAACTGCAGCTGGACTGGATGTCATCTGTTCAGTAAGAGGGGGACTGCTCCTCCCTGGAGGTCTCCCAAAAGCTCCACCAAGAGCTACTCAGACAAGCTAAGCATGCATTATCATTTCAGCCATGTTAGTGGAAGAAGCAACAACAGAGTGAGCACTACTGTCGTGTACAGAGCTAACAGAAAACTTGGCTGTCCTCAGTATAAGGATGTGGCTCTGGACAGCCTGGTCTGCGACCCTGCACATAGCAGGAGGATTGAAACTGGATGAGCATTGTGGTCTTCTTCAAACCAGGCCATTCTATGACTATGAAATATCCATGCATTACTACACTGCTGCAAAACATACCCATACCTGCTTTAGAAAGCTACTAGTAAAATTCAGGGAATAAAATGCACTAATTCAGGTTTCTTAAGGGTTACTACGCTTTCTCCAGCAACACTCCAGGAAGTGCCAGAAGCAGCATGCAGTTACATTTGAATAACAGCATCCATTTTTCTGAACACAAAGACTGGAATATGATGATAGTGCTGGGGAAAGTGAGAAATAAGCAGGGATACTTTTTGCTTGTTTTTAAATACACATTTTTTAAAGCTACCTCTATTTGTATGTAAATAAAAAAACACGAAGTAACTTACTGCTAAGGGTCAGCAGCAAAAGCACTGACTAAGAAAGAAGGTTTAACCTTTCATTTTTATAATCTTGCTGTTACTGACCAAACTTTCTGTTGCCAACTCCACATTTCTTGGGTTTTGTTGTTTTTTCCCTTTATGCTGGAGTACTAAAGACTTCACAACCACCTGACACACTGCTATGAGCAGACTGCAAAGAGTGAGATAGTAAAGTTCCACAGTAAGCACGCACCTGACGTTCATCTATATGGAAACAGCAGTTCATGCAGACAGATTCTGCATGCAGATATTTGTTCAGCCAACACTGGAAATACATTGCATATTTACTGACAGAACATAAACAGCAAGGGGAAGAATACCTGAAGAGGCCGAAGTAAACACTAGAAACTGGAAATAAAAGAAACATGAAGCCTCCTATACTTCTGAAGTCTGACAAAGTAACACAGAGCTCCATGGTAGAACAAGAATTGCAGTTTTTAATGCTTTTAATATTCAGTAATAAGTTATGAGACAAACTGAAATGTTAGTTTTGGAAAGATGACAAAGCAGCTGATGACAGAGCGGCTCCCAACAGGAAATTCTGCTGCTCATTTTCTCCACTTGTGACAAACTTTTCCCTGTAGGAGATCACATTCTGAAGGAAGAAGCACAACTGCAAGGATATAGGATCCGATACAGACAAGCTACATTTAATGCCCAGAAACATTTAACACTGACATACAGTGTTTCAGCATCAGAGTGCAACCCTGAGTTCTGAAGCTCACGTTTCAATGAAAAGTTATTTTAAACCAAAATTAGAAGTAGTGCCTGGCTTGCCAAGAGTACAGCTTTTTCATTCCATTACAGCAAACGTCATGCCCAAGTCGTATGTGAATGTTTACGCTACTTGGTGTGCTGCTTAGCTTGACATTCTTAGGTACTTTAAATGCCTTAAAAGAACAAGTCACTTCTCCTGCTGACTTACTATGCAGAGAACAAAGTAATCCTTTTGCTCATAGTAGTTAGATGAGTGATGTGCCAAGAACTTCCTGTGCCAAGAACAGCTACACCCAGACAGACAGAATTTTTCTGCTAGAAATCAGAAACAAGACTGATTAGTTTTGTCAGGAACTCTTATTTATTGAGTGGAACTCTATTTTACACAGAGGTGCAAAGTGTGCCTCCAAAAACCATAGAACGATTCAACTATTACATCCCACAGACATACCATAACTTGACATTCAAAGCAGGCTTTCTGAAGTTCTGAAGAGGAGCTACAAGACATAGCTTAGTGGCTTGTGGCAGCAAGGATAATGGGAGGACCATTGAACTTGATGATCTCGTAGGTCCTTTCCAACTTTATGATTCTATGATTTTAAGTTTTACTAACTTACTTTACTAACTTCAGCGTATTCTAAACAACTTCTTCTTCAGTTTATCCACAGCATCAACTACAACACAGAAGTTACATCAGCATTCAAACAAGCACCCCAAGCCTTTATATATATATATATATACATACACACACACACTATACACATCCTTATATTTACAGAGGAGATCTAAAAGCCAGAATGCCACAGCTGTGTTCACTTCCAAACATGTTAGAAGTGTCCCGTCATCAATAGTACGCATTATTGGCATGCATTAGCTTTACTACTGCTTATCTATGCTATTACCTCCATAAAATCCCTACAGCAATCCCTTTGCACTTCCTAAAACATCGAATTCAATCAAAAAGAACACAGGTTTGAAGCGAGGTTTAACTTACAAACCAAGGAAGCTCCTTATGGCTTTCAAAAACTTCAAAACCACATCCACAGATCTTCTCAATGCAAAGATAAACAAATGAAAAATACATTTCATAGCTGATAACGAGCTGCTGAAATCAGGTTCTCATTACTTCGAGGAAAAACGAGGAAGCCGCAACAGAGCTTAAACACAGATTAAGGTTAAGGTACAAAGAAAAGAAACAAAACTGCAGCTGAAGCCCCCAGATGGCTTCACAACACCATCAGCGCTGCCTGCGAGCAACGAGAGCCTCCGAGCCCACCGAAAAGCGCAGCTCCACAGCAGGGCCGGGGCCTCTCCGCCTCCCACTGCGGGCTGACAGACCGAGCGATCCCCGGCACTCCCTACCTGACGCCTCAGCGCCTTCCCGGCCCCAGCGGTTCCGCCGAGCTCCGCCAGAGGGACCCTCCGTCACCGCTTCACTTCCGGGGCCGGCCGGGCGCGCTCCGCCATCGCGGCCGAGCGGGAGCAACCGTCACCGCCATCACTCGAAGGGCCGTGAAGGCGAAACGTCGCGTCGTCTCCTCGGAGCAGTAGAAAGAGCTCACCCCCGCCGGGCTCGCCGCCTCAGTGAGGGTGCAGAGCTCGGCCCCGCCGCTCCGCACCCCGCGGGAAAGGCGCCGACCACTCCCGCCGCCTCCCCGCCGCGGCCTAAAATGGGAAAGCGCCTCACACAAAATGGCGCCGGGAGGCTGACCGCCGCGCATGCGCGTCGCGCGTCCCGGCCCGCCGCCGCCGCAGGACGCCATCTCCGCCCGCGCCCCCTCTGCGCTCTTCCCCTCGTCCCCGCCCCTCCGCGTTTCTAAGAGACGGTTAGCGCCAATCGCGTCGCGCCGTTGCTCTTCCTGACCCCCGAACTTGGCCAATCGGCTCGTTCACAGCTACATCCGGATCCAGCTCTCACCAATCAGAGGCTCGGGAGCGCTGACTTCACTTCAACCGCCGCCAATCGACGGGCGCTCCAGCGAAAAGCCAATGAAAAGTCTCCGTGGCTCTACCTGCCTCTGTGCCTGTCCAATAGGTTCCGCCTGGCTCTCGGCGACCAATGGGGGTGCCGTCCGCGGCGCCCAATCCGGGCGGGGCAGAGCCCCCGGGGCGTCACGAGGGGGCCAATGAGAGTTCGAGGAGGACCGATTCTGCTCAACAGCTTGTTATTGGGCTCGTCGCTGGCGATCCGCTGCGAGTCCGGGCTGAGAGGAGGGGGCGGAGCGGGGCCGCGCTCAGCGCCGCCGCTCGCGGGGCTGTCGTCGTCGCGGAGGGAGACTGCGGCGCCGAGCCGGGCGCTGCCCACTTCGCTGCGACTTTCCAGGTAGGAAACGGTCGAGGGCGGCTCGGCAGCAGCAACTCCGCCGCCGTCCCGGGGGAGCGCCCGGCCCCGCGAGGGACGGCCTGGGGCTGAGCGGAGCGGGACGGCCGCCTCTCCCTTCCCCCAACCGCGAAGCGGGCAGCGGGAACGGGGACTCCGAACTCCGCCTCCGAGCCGCTCGGCGCTCGCTCCCGTTCCCCTCAGCCCCGGGTGCGCGGTATGGTGGTGGGGGGAAGGGGGGGGCGGTTTGCTCGTCCCGCTCCCCTCAGCCCCAACGCCGGCGGCCGAGGGGGGCGGGGAGGAGCGGCTCGGCGGGCCGCGGAAAGTTGCGAGGGCCGGGGAGGGGCGGGGAAGGCGGGAGGCAGGCCGGGCCCCGCCGCCCCTCCGTCAAGAGTTGCCGCCTCGGGGCCCTCCCCGCCCCGCAGCCGCCGCCGGGAGCGGGAGCAATGGCGACGTGACGCGCACCGAGCGGCCCGGGACGGGCGGAGGCTCCCGCCCGCCGCCCTGTGACGGCCGCAGACCCTCGGCCGATCCCGCTCTTGTGTTGCAGCGCTTCCCTGCCCGGCTGTGCGGCGAGGAGACGGCTCGGAGCTGGAATCCCTCACGTAACCGGGAAAAATGAAGGTACGAACTCTCTCTCTCTCTCTCTCCTTTTCCTTTCCTTGAAGTAACTTCGTTTTTCGCCGCTGTTTCAGCTGCAGTTGTCTGGAAACGCTCTGAGTTGCTGTCCTCGGAGTGCTGCCTTTAAATGCTTCCTGCATCAGCAGCTGCTATTGCAAGTTTGCAAAACCACAACTTTTGTCCCGCCTGTGCTGCTGCTGGGTTGTTTTTTTTTTTGCCAGTACAAAGACGGGGCAGTACACAAAAGAGAGAGAAACTTTTCTTGCCTTCAATTAAACAGCAGCAAAGCAGTTCCTTAATGCTGTGTGTTGATTTCCTGTCTCGATGGACGTTTTGGCGTGCTGCTTCTGGCCTTGTTTACCGCTTTACACACGCCCGATAAAGTGAGGTTTGAAGTAATAAAGTCCAGATTAAGGAAAAGGTGAGGAGAAATAGTTCTTCCCCTTAACGAGGCAGTTCAGCTTTCATAAAGGATTTCAAGAAAAACAACTGCTCACAAAGATGAGAGTAAATCTCTCTAGAGGTCTCCGTTTAGTCGGCAGGAGAAAAACTCCTATATTTAGAATGGTATAGACATAATTGTAGATATTGGTATGATAGCAGCCTCAAATTATCTGCCTCACCAAATTGGTTTCAACAGGAAAAAACGCAGTTATCTTTTATGCTGCAGTTCTGCTGTTGAAAGATTTCCCTTCTTTAATTCTTTTGAGTTGTCATTTTTATTGATTATTATTACCTTTTTCATAACGAGGTGCTTTAATATGAGCTCAGCACCCCCAGAGCTATGCTGAGCATACCACGGAAAGTAATAAGGTGTTTTTTGGTTGGTCCGTTACATTGGGAGAGCAATTAGGCTGACAGAATCGGGGGTCAACCTCACTATGTGAAGCCAAACTTCCTGTAACTCGTTTCTTTACTTTTTTAAAGAGCAGTCTGATGGTAGTTATGAATACAGACGTTGTTTGTCACCTAATGATCAAGAAGTTCAGATGGAAAATTGAATGTGCAATGCTGTAGCTGTAAAAAGAACTAAGAACTAAACTTTGTTCCTGTTTTTTTTTTGCTCCTCACTAGGCAGCAGATGAGCCTGCCTACCTGACAGTGGGAACGGATGTCAGTGCCAAGTACCGTGGTGCCTTCTGCGAGGCAAAGATTAAGACAGTGAAAAGGCTTGTGAAAGTCAAGGTAGTATGCTGTGGTTTGTGCTGGTTTTGTTAAAGCACTGTGTTGAAAGAGCTGTCAGAGAAGATAAAAATCCTGAAGATTAAGGAATGTTCATTGCTTTACTTTTTGACTTTTAAGAGCATTTGAATGTTTGTGCAGTTATCGTTTTCATGTTGTTATTTTTCCATATCTGTGTTCAGGAGGATGCTGAAACAGGACTGGGCTTAAACATTACCTGTCTATGCTGCTCAATTCCTGATCACAGTTGTCTCCTGTTTATGAATGCATCAGTTTCACAGCAGTGTTGAAGGTTCTCCTAGAGGCTTATGGCTTTACATGAGTAATAAGAGCAAACTCTTCAGAAGCAAAAATTCCCTTTCGTTCCAACTGACAGTCAATTTTACTTGAGAGGCTGTGCTATAATAAATCAGTGTAAGAACAAAAAAAAAAATTGCAAAAGAACCTTTTTAGATCAGGTTTTTTAGATGTCCAGAACAGTATTTGTTAGTTTCCAGCATCTTGCTGCTGCTTTCAAAGCAGCATGCAAAACTGTAGCTAAGTTCCTGTGCAAGCATAGTACTGACACTTAATATTCATTTCTGTTTACAGGTCTTATGCCAAAACAAACAAAAATGAAGGTTATTATTTTACTGTTGCAGTTCTATTGTTCATGCTAATGTGGGAAAACAAGAGTCAAACCTAGTTAAATAAGAGTTAAGAATGCAAAGTAAATACAGAGCTTGGTTTGTTCCCTTAAGTTCTTTCCACTTCTAGATAACTGTCCAGGATATGTAAATAAGGCATTAGTGACCCTCAAAACTTTGCTAGAGATGAAAGCTTCTTTTTATAATTGTACATCTAAGTTTTCATGTGCTTTAATGCTTAGATTAAGTAGAGCAAGCTGTCAGCCTCTTCACTTACATAGGTGGAGCACATCACTTTTGTCAGAGTTCTTGTCATGGTTTAAAAAATCAACCAATTCAGATCTTTCAGACTTTTCTCCTGTTCTTAGTGAGTACTTTTAGAAATTCATGCCCTTCTTTGAAATCTGTGTGAATGAGTTGCTCCCTAGAAAGCAGTGTGCTGCCCTTCCTGAACTGACATCCTTCATTTTTCTTGTCTTTGGTCTGAGTATCTGAGCATTAAGGCTGTTTGTAGGTGTGTGCTTCTTTTTCTCTATCCAGCGATGTGCTTTATTACTCCATGATCAAGACTCGTAGGTACATGAGGCTGCTCTGACTTAGTAACAATTCCTGTCGCTGTGTCTGAATTGTAAAAGAACAGTTGAAGTTGTAGCAATAAGCCTGATATTTTAATGAAGAGTGTGTGGGCACAGCCCAGTGTGCCTCCTAAGTCCAGAGGATCCATCAGGCTTTTCCTTAGTAGCAGGACGACTTGTATTCATCTCGATGCTGATAGAGAATTGTAAATAAAAACTAATTGAACCAGGTTATTATGAATTCATATTACTGCAGGGTGCATTTCAACATGGCTTTTATAAATACAGCTGCAATGTAAATTGTGCTTATCTGATAAAGAGAGGGGAGCACAAAAACTGGACATCTTATTGGTGGAAAGGAAATTCCTTGGGTTTTTGATTCCTGAAAAGGGATAGGAATTTGGGAACTGTTGGTTAGTACATCCTGGGTACTCAGGTGGGTCTTTTTGCTATGAAAAATGGCAGTGAAACAGCGTGCTAACATCTAAATATTCATCTTCTATGTTTCTGAGCTGAGTCTGTGCAAACTCAGGGATTCAACTTGCACAGGCTTCTGTTCCTTCTGTGTCATGATGCTTACTCTCTCAAACACAGGATTTTAAAGGGAAAAGTGTTTTACTTCCTCTTTTTCAACCCATCCTTATTTTAATCACGCTTTCAGTGGTTCGCATCTTTACCATAGAAACTTTCTCCTGTTCGTGGTAGCAGCGGTGGTGGTGTGGTCTGTTCAGTGATTCCTCAGTGAGTTTTTAATACACAGAGCATTGTATTTTGATTGCAGTTCACTACTCAGTGTGTTGTCAAAGAAGTGCTGTGGGTAAAGTAGAGAAAAAGCACGTGAATCATCTGATCTCTAGGCTCAGTTCCAGGTGTACCCTGGGGTGCATCAGTATCTAAACTCGCATCGAAAGCTTCAGTTCTTTTCATTGGAGCACCTGTTGTTTTATTTGCCCTCTTCTTTGACTGTAGTGTTTCAGGCTGAGTGTTCAGTGTGCTGCTTGGGCCTTCCTGTGAGTAAGGCCATCCACGCCGAGGGTTTTGCATTCACAGTAATGTTTGACTGTGTTTGATGGAGAAAAAGTTGATTTTCTGCATTGCTGCTTCTGTTCTTAGACTTTTTATATGCCATTACAAATAAGGAATGCATAAACAAGTTTATGAATGTCTTTCAGGTGGTCCTGAAGGGGGATAACTCAACTCAGTTAGTTCAAGATGATCAAGTGAAAGGACCTCTAAGAGTATGTATATTGCATGCCTTTTATTGCTTTATCTCATAGTAAATCAACAGGAGGAGCCCCATTGCTTTTGGTTGGGTTGATTTTGAATAGTCCTAACTCTTGTAGTTTTTGGAGGCTCTTTGTGTTCTCCATGTAGCATGCTTCATATGCCAACAGAACTGCACATGCTGCTTTTGAAACCTGTTATAAGCAACAGAGATCCTGATTCCACGAGAGTAATTTCAAACCTGTTAGACAGTAATAAACACGAGTGTTCTGAAAGTGTTTTTAAAGTAGGTGATGTATTTTATATAAAAATGCATGTTGATTTGTGTTTTTACAGGAGCTGAAAGTTGTCTGCTAAAACAGCTGCATTATAGAACACTGACTGCAGACTTTTAGAGATCATCTTTAGTAGCGCCAGCACAAACACTGCTGTGTGTTAAAGTCTGATCTAGCTGATGGTACAACAATAAAGAATAATGTTAGAAGTGTTTTAAAGCGTAAGGAACATTAGTAACACACATCAACAGTGAAATAAGAGTTACTTTGAATAGTTGAATACTTATTTCCAATTAGCCTTGTACAATTTCTTGTTACGGGATAAGCCGTGATGAAATTAGTTGTCCCATGATCCTTACTGCTTTATTGTCTAACCAGAGTTCATCTTAAGAACCTTTGTTCTTACCAGCTATGCAACTACATTTCACAAAGTAACATTTAGCTAAAATGAATCTTCAACATTATCCAAATAAAATCCTGCCTTACTAGAAGAATTAATGCTTTCGTGAGTTCTGTCTCTTTCATTTGAGTTCTGGATTATGTGTAACCTTGGGATACCCCTTTTTGCAGGTTGGTGCCATGGTTGAAACCAAAATGCCTGATGGATCCTTTCAAGAAGCTGTTATCAGCAAGTTAACAGATGCGAGCTGGTATACTGTAGGTAAGTAGCCACATGCTTTCGTTGACAGTCTCTAATCTTTGAATAATACATTTCTAATTATAGATAATAACATAAGTAATTATATTCTGTTTTGTAAGAGCTGAGATTTCGAAGGGAACTTTAAGTCTTCCAGATCTTGTTTCCTTAAAAATAGAATAATAATATGATGTTGAAGGAGGCTGTAGCAAAGGGCTCAGCAGACAATTTTATTTGGCACAACATCTATATGCTGATGGTGGTTTCACTCAATGGAATTCAGAATGGCTTTTGCAGATTTTAAGACAAACTTCAAAATAGCACTTCTGGCTGAATATTTGTGACACGTGTTGACTGACTGGCTTGCTAGTGTTCTTTCACTGTATGCAGTCTTATAAAAGCAGCAGCGGCACCCACAGCTTCTGTACCTTTGGAAGTGATTCCTCTGTTTTGTGTAGAGCTGAAAGTTGAGGGTTGTGTTTTGTATGAAGTAACAGAAGAAAGGAACTTATTTTTAAAGAAATTGCCATTGCACCTAAAAAGAAGAGGGGACCTTTTTTTGTAACTTAAAATTAACTGTTGCCTTAAAACTTTTTCAAATAATGATTCAATCTAAAATAAAATAGAAACCAAATTTGCTGCTCCTGCAGGAGGCTGCGTTTTTTGGTTACTGACACAAACCTCAGAACGCACAATCATCAAAATGTCAGCGTTGAATAAGGATTCACTGAAAGAGAAACTTCATTAGTTTGAATAAATAGAATTGCTCATTCTGATACCTGGGCTTTTCTGAAATAGCTCTATTACTGGAGTGGCTTGCAACATTCAGGTGATACCATATAAGCAAACAAAAACAACCACAGTAACTGGATCGAATAGCCTTCCAAGTATCCAACTTGGAGGAAATGCACTGTTCTTAATTGTACTGTATATTCTGCCATTCTACTCCACTATATTTGTTCTGTACTTGCTTCTTAATATCCTTGCATACAGACAGTTCAGTTTTATCTTCATATTCTTCAATACCCTGCTGAAGAGTCCCATATAGCGTGGGATATCAGTTTTATTTTGGTTTTGTGTTGTTTGTTTGTTTTAAGATAGACAGTACTTTCAGTAGTCCAACTTTCCCTTTGCAGTAGATGAGATTATTTAGTCTTTGATGGGATCAAGATAAGGCTGTCAATGGAAATAATTTGGAAGAGTTTATCATGAGACGTTTATTATTATTGCATGCTATAAATATGAGCTGGTTGACTTTCCAGTTGACAGTGCTCACTGCTCTTTGCATTTTTATTTTTTTAAATTCTCATATATTGTTAGCAAATATCAGGAAGGGCCTACTTGCTGTGCAGGTGACCAAGCACAGCCTGTCCAGAGGTTCTGGGATTTCTTGTTTGGAGGTCTTTAAAAGCCCTGCTCTGAGTGGCCCAGGCCAGGCTGGATGTGGCTCTGGGCAGCCTGGTGTGCTGGTTGGCGACTCTGCACATAGCAGGGAGTTGGAACTGGATGAGCATTGTGCTCCTTTGCAACCCAGGCCATTCAGTGACCTCCAGAGCTCCTTTCCAACCTTAACTTCTTTGTGATTCTGTGATCTTTTTTTTTTCCTTTCAAGGATATACATTGCTCTAGAATTCTAGATTAAGCTGTAAAGTTGTGGTACTCAGGTGGAAAAGGCAGACTTACTTCCTAGTCCTTTTGGCCTTACACTGCAATGTAACATATTTGGTGAACCCCTACTACCTTTTTTATCTTTAGACAGATAGAATAGAGGACAGTAAAGTTGCATGTTTTTTCATATGCAAATTTACTAAGGCTGCTAGGATTTTGTAGAACTTTGGAGCTGCTGGGAATGAGGGGATTTAAGTAATTCCATGATAAGTCAGTGTGTAATGTGGCATATAGGGTACCCATACATCTGAAAATACAATTGTAGCATGCTGGAATTGCATTCAGATCTTACTAAAATTGTCATGAGTAGTACGTGGTGTCTTGTTTATTGATACTGAAAGCAGAGGTGTTGTTGACCAAGGTAAGCAGATTGAGAATTTTGTATCTTCATAACTTGGCTCTTTAACTTGGATAATAGTGGAAGTGCTTTAGCTTGAGTACAGAGATGTCAGAGTGTGAGAGCCTTTTTTTTTAGCCTGCTTCTCCCATTGTAGCTTTGTAGAAAGCTTTGGATAAGTGTGGAGTGTATGTTTATGTTGCTGTCAAGTAAACAAGAGCTGAATTGGTTCCCCTTTAATAGATGGTGGCTGTGCTCCTTGGCAGTCTTATTGACGATTCAGTCAAAGCTAAAAACTTGAAAGGGAAGTGGATTAAACAGCTTTTCCAGTTCTGAAATGTTTTCCTGAACCGTGGTCAGGCTTGAGTTGGAAGCACAGGAGAAAGCTTGCTTTTAGTGTGTGCTCCTGTAGCATTTAATTTCTGTTCTATGGATCATCACCTCTTTGTGATATAAAACTATGACCGATAAGGGTAGAGAGGTCAGTAATATATGTGGGTTAATAAATAAACAATAATTTGCTTTTGTCACCAGCATAACAGATGCACAAAATCTCTTCTAACATGAGTTGTGCCTGTTAGTGGTGTCCATCTGCCCAAAATAAGTAAGGATCTCTTTTATTCTTGTAACGGTAGCTGCTCTGAAATGGCTGTTTCACCTGGTACCACATCTAGCAATGGTGTTATTGTAGCCATTTAGTCGTGTTGAAATTTTCAACTGGAGTACTTGAAATGCCTTCAGAAATCTCTGAGTGCTCCAGTAGGTGAAGAGACACAGCTGTTGGGGGTGAGGACTTAACAAAGCCTGGAAAGCTGAGTTGCACAACTCAGCCCTCTCGTCTGCTCGATGGAGTCTATAGGGAGACGGCAGGGCTAGCAGTGTAAGTTCCTGGGGTAACAAATGGCTCCGTTGAGTTTTTAGTCTTTTAAAACTTAATTATTTTAAATGAACTTGCAATTTTTTGAAGTGCTGCATTGATGCTTTTGAAGTGCTGGATATATTGCTCAGTGATAATTACCTAGCATTAGAGCAGTCTGTCAGATCTGTTTTCGGCTGAGCCACGTTTGAATTGCTGCTAACTTAGTGTACACCCACCTGATTCTCTGTTAATTTGTAAAACAGGTCAAACATCACACTGCACATAGTTATATTTTCCTGCTGTAATCTTTTCTGGAGTTTTACTGCCATTACCAGAATGTCACAAAGCAGAAATCCTTGTGTATAAGTTTAAGGAAACACTTTTGTATAACTTCTTTTCAAAGCTGAAAGCAACGTAGTGTCTACATAAAAGTACAAAACTGTATTTCAGTTCTTCAGTGAAGAGTTGCTGTTAAATCAGTCTCTTTTCTTGCCTCATCAAAACAAGTATCACCTTCCTCTTGATAATACCAGTAACCTGCATGTGCTTAGGTCTCTCATTGAAGATTTGCCATTTAACCACTGCTACAGCTTTCAATGAAAGTAAAACCAGACCAAATACATTGCATCGTGTCTTTTGAAAGATAAAATCATGGAAAAGTCTTTCTAAAGAAAGAGAAGACATACAGCTAGCTTTAATCGTTTTACCTCTGCAATGTAGGGAAAATACAGAAATTAAAAGCATTGATGAGCACTTGTGGTTTCTAGTAGACCTTGCTGTCACAGTAGTGCTTTTTATACCATTTGGAGTAAAAAGGAGTGTGGTTTTTTTATTTCTTGGAGAACTATGGCTTTCTAGCTTTTATGTAAGGCATCTTTTTAAAAATTATCTTGAAATGGCAGAATATTTTAGTATAAATAGTAATTAATTTTGCTCATTCTTTAAAATGCTGCGTGAATCTGCAAAGCCAGAAGAGTTTCCCTTTTTGGCTCTGGTGCAGTGCTGTAGATCAGTGTGGCCCATCTGGTTGTGCTGTGGGCCAAACATCACTTGTGAGACCTCTGTGAGCCCCCTTCCCTTGCTTGGGCTGCCCTGCAGATTCACATGGGGTAACTTCCTCCTCTCTTGTGGTCACTGGGGCATTTTGCAGGGAATGCTGTTATCTGTGTGTGCTGGAGGAAGAGAGAGGAGTTGATACCTGACTGCTCATCCCTACGCAGATGAAGTTTGGGTGGTCTGGGTTGTTGTGGAAATGAGGTCTTGGCCACAAGTTGTGTCACTGAGGGGTGTCACGTTTAGGAAATGTTGGATGCGGCCTTACTCCTGTCTGGAGGGTGATAGAAGCTATCAGTCACTAGATTTCATCCATTCCAGAGTCTTGCCAGTTTGTCTTTTCATAATGTCTACAGCAGGCTTTTTGTAGTATGTGCAAGGCTGGAGTTGTGTTTGTGTGGCTGGTTGGACCAGTTCTTCTTCCCAGCATCCTGTTGAGTTGTACAGTCCAGATGCATCGCTTCATCTTCTGGCTATGCATGCGTCACCCAGGAATCCTAAAGGACAAGTGTGACAGAGGAAGTGTCCAGTCACCTCCACTTCTCTGGTGCTGCAATCCTCCCTGACCCACCACCACTTTCTTCTTTTCATCTCCAAAATGCTGCTTGCTTGGATTTTGAAGAAATCCCATATTTACCAGCATCACTCCATGGGGCGTATCATGGATTAAGTGTGTCTGCAGCACACACAGAACTGTGCCACAGCTGCGTTGGTTGCTTTCTGAAGAATCTGGGAAATAAAAGAGCAGCACAGCATTTTGTGCTCCAGCACCTGCAGGTAGAGAGCACCTGTGGGAGGGGAAGTATAGCAACTGAGCCTTGTTACAACTCATGGCATGGAAGCCTTGCTTGTAAACCATCTTTGTTACAATGTGGACAGTGCTTTATAGCAAAGTTATTGTGTATAAATAATACTGTAGAGGTACAATACAGTAATGCTGTACTGTTCTGCTAAATGCAGGGAGGTGTTTTTTTTTTTCCTTCCAAATCTATGTAACGATAGTAAGATTACTATAACATCTCAGAAAAAAGGCTTTCAGGCAGTAGGTTCTTATAAGATGATAGCCTTATGTAGGAGGAATCTCAAGGTTTATTCTTTGGTGCTTTCAGGGATATGTCATACATACCTGAGCAGAGGAACAGTTCCTCCAGAGTTGTTTTCTTTTTCTAAAATATAACACATCACTGAATTGCTTGGCCTCTGGAGGAGCACAATCCATTGCAGCATCTTGTTACAACGATGAATCAGTGATTAGTGCAGTCCTTATCTGCAGGGTTATTCAACAAGTGCAGCCTGAATCCTGGTACTTTCTATATTGTTTCTGTAGTTAAAAAACAAAAAGCTAAAAGGCTTTCACATGTTTGTGGATGATTCATGGGTAGCATCTCTGATAGCTCACGAATTACACCTTAGGCAACTAGTGAAATAGTGACACAGTTTTTATTTGTTGGCATATACTTTCATTGTCTTGGTAGGTTTAGAAAACTTTGAATAGGGAGAGTAATAAAATAAAAATGTTTGCTTGCTATGCAGTGTGGAATCTCTCCTCTTTTGAGCAAGGACAGTAACGTAACTTGTTGGATTTGAAGTTAGCAAGCTGATGCAGCCTGGAGGGTTACTTTCTGTATTCACTTGTATGTTACAAAACTGCCTTGTTCTGGTAAGACTGATTGCTGTGTGTTCAAGTAATGTAACTATTTCAAGTATGTTACCACTGCTCTCCTGCTTTGTTCTCTTTATTTCTTTTTCTTTTTTCCCCTAATCTTGTGATATATATAAATAAGATATTTATAAGATGACTGATCTGCAGTAGCTTGGGGTGAGTTTCTCCCTGGTTTTTAAGCACTATTTGGATTAGTTGGCTTTTTAATATTTCCTTTATAACCAAATGAGAACGGATGTTGAGATAGTGTTTTTGTGAGGGCAGGGTTAGGATTAGTGTTACTGTTGCTAATAGCTTATAGAGACATGCATGGGCCTGCTGCAGCCGGGGAATGGAGGATAACTGCTAATCCAGGGCTAGTGGAAAGCTACACTGCGTAATGCATGTTTGATGGACTCAATTTTTAAGAGGGAGTTTTTGAGATATTTGTTTTCCTAGCTTACTGAAAGTACTGCAATGATTCCCAATGGAGAATTTTGTTTTTCTGTCATAGCTTTGGCTTGCCTAAGCTTGCACGGACAGGAGTGCATCCACTTCTGTTTGTTACCTGTTGTTACTGACAAGGCTGGGTTGCAGCAAAAGTCTGAAATTTTCCATTTTGTTTCCACTGCTTAACAATGCTGTATATGGAACATACTGAGCTCCATATAGGGCATTCTTGGGAATTGAATGAGAACAAACAGAATAGAGACTGTTCCTCCAGGCTGTGCTGCTTAGTCATCTTTCTTCTCCTTCTGTCAGTGTTCTTGGTTAAATAACACGCCTTGCAAGAAAGGCCTCTGGCCAGCTTTTCCTCCTGTCATTCCTACTTTGTCAGATTGACTCTTAAATAGTAGAGTTAGTTTCCTGGCTAGGAGGTATTGCTCTCTTCCCAGAAGTATTTGCTGGAGCAGACAGCTGGGAAATGGCTGTTACCCCGGTGAGTACGTGCCCTCTTCAGGGTTAGGCAGCAGTGGCACATAAAGGGCTTCTGCTTCTTTAGGGAGACAGGACTTTAAGTCCCCCTTCTGTGATAAATATTGTGACACTGTGAATGCATCTTTCGATGGCTGAATTAGGTGAGCATGGAGAGAGATATCCCTGCCTTCCATCCCCATTTCTTTTCCTCCTTTGTATGCCTGACTGTTTAGCAGCCTTCCTTAAGGAATACAGCATGTAAGAATTTCTGCTGTCAGAGAATTTGGAGGTGTAACAATGACCTGTTTGGGAAACAATAAAGCAATTCTTATAAGTTGTTCAGCATCAGTTCAACAGTTTTTATCTCTTTGTTAGTACCAGGCATTTTACCTAAATAGTCATACTTGTTAATATAGGCAAAGAAGAATGAATGTGCAGTTTTAATTTAAGAGCCTATTATGTTCTTCTGCCATGATTGCTATTATACTATTGATGTAGTGCATAGACAAAACTCTGCTATCTCATCTACTGCTTATATCTCTTAAATCCATAGCATGTATAATATTTGTATGGTGAAAAGTCATTTTCCTAAAGCCCTTAGGACTTGCATTTAAAAGTTGTGCACGGGGTGGATGCAATATGAGCAGTATGTTTTGTGAAGTAGATTTTTCAGAAAAAGGCACCTGAGATGGAAACAAGAGGCCTACTTATCTTCAGGAAGGTGTATCTCTGAAAAGGTGCTGACAGTATCAAGGCATGCTTCTGATTAAGTCAGATTCCTTCCAAGAGGAGGAGTCGTATTTGCCTGCAGAGGTGACGTAGAAACTTATGAAGGTGATACTTCTGGAAGTAGGAATAAGATAGACTGATTGTATTTTTTCTTTACTGCCAAGTATCAGATCCTGTTTGCTGTTTCCAATAAAGTTACCTATTGCTGATCACCAGCCTTCTGTTCCCTAAAACCATGTTTGTGAAATATGAGTGCTTTGACTTCAGTTCTGAATGTGTTCAGTAAAGCATAATGATGATGATCTGCTTTTAAACCTCTTCAGAACAATGAGAAATTGCAGGCACTTGGAGGGTCCCTGAAAGTATACCACTGTATTCTATCAAAGTGTATGTATGAATATTATGTACAGATTGGGTGGCAATTAAAGATCAAAGGGCTGAAACGTATATAAGATGTAAACATCTCATACACTGCTGAGGGGGAGACCTCATACTTCAGTGCAAAGTGCATCAGTGCTGGCTTCCTTCAGCTGTCAGCCAAACCAGAGGATTTTGAGAGTATTGTATTGGCACTGAGATTGACAGGTCTTCGTGGGATTCGTATTTTAAAGGTTTTGAAAAGGTTAATATGGCTAATATGGCTAATTAGGCATATATCTTTCTGCTGTTCTTAAAATGTTAGGGTTCAGGATTTGCTTTCTGTGTACTGCATAATGACACAAGCCATTAAGATAATTCAGTATTGCAATGTACAGCAGCACTATCTCCACTCTGAGATTCTAACAATCTCAATGCTTATCTTATCAAGCTTAACTAAGTTTGTATTCATATGTTATTATGAGCTGTTATTGCAGTATTATTCCAGTCCAAGGTTTCAATCTAGGATTGAGAATATGACCATTCTATTCTGTTGACAAGTGAGAGAAATGCTTTTCTTGCTGTGACTAAACTGTACTTTTTGCTAACAAATCATGTAATTTCATATTTTTTTTTAATAGAAGTATGCCAGAATTACTGCATTGATAAACACAACGCTCTTTACACTTTCTTATTTTAATTAAAAAAAAAAAAAAAGTTAGTTACTGGACAAAGCACATTTCAAGTAGTTTAAATATAGAATAGTATTCTGCCCTTTGACCCATACAAATAAACTTTTAACTTACCAGACTGACTGCAGCCACCTGGTCTCTGCTCTGTGAAAAGAGCCCGTTCTTGTGGCTCAGGCAGAGGGATCTGAACCAGAACGTGGGAAACCATGTTGCCAAAATATTGTGTGTTCCTTAAAATACAAGCTATTTCTGTGACATACTGGAGATAAAAGGAATATTGTTGCATACTTCAAACTGTAGGTACCAAAACATTTAAAATAAAATTCAGCAAGCGGGGAAGCTAATAACTTTTCTTTCCTTATCTTAATGGAAATCTTGGTGAAAATGTTGTAAAGTGACTGAAGGGTAGATATTTCTCAGGCAAAACTTACAGTGAACTCAGAGTGTCCTGGACTTCTTCAGCTGCATATTGGAAACTGGTGGAACTTCTTTTTGACTTACCCTTAACATCTTTATTTGTCTACTAAATCTTCTTTCTGAATTCTGTGACTTCTGAGTTCTGTGCAGCAGGAGAAAGAGAATTAAAAGAAGGGGAATCAAAAGAATGAGTAAGGAATAAATGGGTAATTTAAAAGCAAGACCAACAAAAAAGAAAGAACACTGTTAGATAACAGTAACTGGTATACAGCCAGTAGCTGTGGTTTGAAGAAGTGCAATGTATTGATAAGGTGGATGTCTAAATTAGATTAAAGCTACAGCTTCCAAAAGCCTTCCTGGGCACTGACGTGAATTTGAGTGTTACCCCTCCTTAGGATGAATCTTGAACACCTCCCCTGTGTTTGTGAACCAAATAAATGTCAAAGTGAAGGTCTTTGAAATCGTGTTCTAGAGAGTATTCTAAATTGCATGAGGAACAGTAGACTTGCTTTGTCAGTTTGGGATCATTTTCTGCCAACACGTTTTCTTGCTTGCATTCTAGTTTTCGATGATGGTGACGAAAGGACCTTGAGACGAACTTCATTATGCTTGAAGGGAGAAAGGCACTTTGCAGAAAGTGAGGTAAGATGATGGACATACAATGAGAACTGGGTAGTAGACGGTTAATTTTCTTTCATATGAGAAACTGCAGAGTAACTTTGTTTCTTCTTTGTTCATGTAGACACTCGATCAATTGCCACTAACCAACCCAGAGCACTTTGGAACTCCAGTTATTGGGAAGAAATCTAATAGAGGAAGGAGATCTTCTCTTCCTGTGTGAGTTTTGTTAGTGCTCTGTTCCTTCACTTCAGTGTCCTTTGCTAAAATTGTAGTTCAGTTAAAGCTGTAACAGTCTGGACAAGCACGCAGTGCTTGTGGTACTAATAGGAATGGGAGGGTGGTTGGACTAGATGATCTTGCAGGTCGTTTCCAACCTTGTGATTCTATGATTCTGTGGATGGACCATCATGTGAGCTGCATACACAGATTATAGGCTGAGAAGTTCAGTTCATGCAGACTTGTTGATATTTTAGCTGTAGTATGAAATGGATGTTTTATTGTTGCTGTTTTTGTCCCTTGCAGTAGCCTTAAGGCTGTCCATTCTCCTTTCACATAATACGAAGTCATGTCAGGAAATGTGGGATTTTTAAGCTGCTTTATAAAATAGGAAAAAAGGTGCTTTTAAATTTTAAGGGTGGAGATTCTTTCCCTTTGTTTCATGTCAATGTGCAATTATATGCTGATTCACATCTCCACTTCCAACATGATGCTGTGGTAAAATGCTACTATTTCTACAAGAATCCTTTAAGTCAGTGCATTTATTACTTAGGAGTATTTCCAGCAATTTCAGTTCTGAAAATTATAATTTTATTTCTGAGACCTTGCAGAAAAACAAGAAAGATCTGGCTGTTAAGTATTTTGCTTTCAAATATTAACCTCAGGTGAAAACTTTAAAATACTGTATGTTTTAATAATTCAGAACTGAAGATGAAAAGGAAGAAGAAAGTAGTGAAGAAGAGGATGAAGATAAAAGGCGTCTCAATGATGAACTGCTTGGCAAAGTTGTGAGTGTGACCTGTAATTCTGAGAAGGCAGACTGGTATCCAGCTTTGGTAAGTTGTTTAAAACATTGAAATCTTTAATTTCACACTACTGTTTTTTGACAAGAATATAATTCAATTTGCTGCACTGTTCCTATAACAGTTTTCTTGGTTTGGACAGTTTGCACACTTCTGCAGCAAAGCTGTGAATGCAGTCAGGCCAGCTGTGCTGCCCATATTCTCTAACAATCCAAATATTCTACAGTGACTGTGAACAATAGGAGAACAACAATGAATATTTGTGTATAACTTACAGTTTGATGGCTCTTAAGTCAGTCAAAACTGTATGTGAAATGATTGATATGTCATGAATTTTTTCTTGGTGTTTAATGATTGCCTTTTTCCTAAGACTTTCAGGTTTAATTACAAGTTCTTACCATGCATGCATCTACATGACATGGCCAGTTCATCTAGCAGTAGGCTGGCTACTATTTTCATCTGACTACATTGATTGATCCTGTTTATTACCTTCTCTAACAATAAATACTGACTAAATTCAAGTGCCTTTGCTTGTACTGTAAAGGCAGATCCTCTGTAAGCTCAAAACAATTTATAGATACACATAAAAAGTTTTTTTTCTTAAGTAGACTTTTCTGATAGTGTTAGACAAGCTTAATATGCATCTTCTGTCACTCAAAAAAGATGTGATTGTTGCTTGGAGCATTGAACAGATGGACAGATTTTGTTCACAGAGTTTTGCAGATCCCATTTAATACAGGATGCACAGTTGAGTTAGCAGCTGTACCTCTGCTTAAAATGTGAAATGTGGTGTTGCAATGTGTCTTCTGATTGCTGTATATTGCTTTATGAACAGCAGATTTGAACTTTACGTGGTTCCAGGTAGGGGATTACCTTCCTTAGTGGCTGTGTAGCTCTCTGTGAGCTGAGAAGCAGGAAAGTCTTTTTGTCTGTCTGCCTCATCTGAACGGGGTGGTCCACCTTCCACTGAATTCTGGTAGATCCAGGAGTTTATCTGCATTCAATGTGTTTTTGTCCACATGTGTGGTCTGGAATAAATTGTAAACGTGTTTGTGGTAATACAAATACTGCAATTGAATTTATAGCACCTTTTTAGACTTCTGGAGATAATACTGCTATGGAAGAATGCATTGGAATCTGTACTGGTTTATATTACCTACATCTCAAACAAAAACAAAACAAAACAAAACAAAAACAAAAAAAAACAACCCAAGCTACTTATCTCTTAGGCTGAATGCCTCAGATCAGAATTTGATATAGAGTAAATAGGTCTGTAACTTTTGTTGTTGGTTTGAATAGTTGCTGCAAGCAGTTCTATGAACAGGAGAAAAAACTGAGTGCATGCATAGGACAATGCAGTGTCAGCTCTGTAGAGGAGTAGTTTGAGTTTACAAATGAAAGAGTAAACTTTTCCAGCTTGTGCATGACAAGTAGAGTAAATAGCTTGAGATAAACTACTTCTTGTAATTTGTTATTTTTGGCCCTGCTAATATCAATTGCAGTATGTTGCTTTTCTCAGAGCTGAAAATTACGCTGGAAGAAAGAAGGAAGCAGCTATTTCCCTGCTGTCATTCCTTTCAAGAAAAGCTATTTCATTTTCTTTTCTGCTTTAAAAAAAAATGTTTTGTTTGAAACTTCAGGTTGTTTCTCCCAGCTGTAATGATGACGTCACGGTGAAAAAGGACCAGTGTTTAGTCCGATCCTTTGCAGATTCCAAATTGTAAGTAACAGCTTACCTTTATTAGATTTACTACTTCTTCATTCTTTTCCTATGTAAGATCTTGCTTCTGGAGGTGTTAACAGCTTTATCCAAAAGTGGAGGGTCCAACTTTGTGTGTTGTTGCTTGTATACGGTTGCTGTTCCTTTGTGATGTAAGGTGCAAACAAATGGTTCTTCACACTTAAGAAGAAGGCTTGCAATATTGTACATTTTGAGTAACATGCATAGTTATTGCTTAATTCCAATTTAAGGGAATTTATATGTATATTTTTTTAGCCTTTGTCACTCATAGTTCAATTCCAACTAATTTCTTCTTTGTGCTCTCCCTGCTTCCCCCTTTATGTTGTATTTGTACTACGGATTGGTACAGAATTTGGTGCCTTCAGAGAGGAAAGAGAAGTCAGCAACTTCAAAAAACAAACAACTAGATGTTAACTTCTGGTCATTCCTGTCCTGTAAAGTGTGTTTCAGTTTCAAGAAATATCATTAATGTCTTAACTACTACAACTGTCACGTGTGTCTACTGCAGTAGCTTCAATACCTGATTGACCCATTACCTCGCGTGCCCAGATGTCATTGCTGTTTAAATAGCAAAGTTTAAAAAGTATTTAATCCACTTCTAAATTTTAAGGGGATATGAATTAACAGTTTAATTAAAATATTTATAGAACCTCAATCAAGAGTATTGGGAAAAGGAAAGAAAGGTCTTCTAACCTTTTCTTTCCTGCCCCCATACCGCCTTGAAAAAACTGTGAGTGGATGAGTGGATGGTGGGAGAGACGTGTGTTACTTAAGGAAAAGTATATTCACAAGAATATTAAGACTGTTTGTGAATGTTGCTTCCCCTTGTTTGTCTTTTCTCATGCACTTCTAGTGCATCTGTCTCAGCATACTGTAGCCAGAAACATCCTTGGTGAAGGCCACCTGGCACTCTTCTTCCTCACTTTTGTGATTTCTAGTAGCCACAGTATTGACTCAGGGACGAGGATTTGGTCACTGAAACACATTTCAGGTAGCAGAAGGCATTCAGTTTTGCTTCTGAATGCAGACACATCGTCAGCCTCCTAGATTAATTTGGCTCTGAATGCTGAGGGTACAGTGTTGTTGGAAAAACATGCAGCCTGGCTCTGTTCTACTCTTTTTTTTCCCATAGTATTATGGCTTTAACTTCAGAAAATGGCAGCCTCCAATTCCTGAGGCTTTACTCCACTTTTTCTGAATACAGCGAAAGAAGAAAAACAAACATTGTAATAACTCACTTGTAAGGCTTTCCTTGCAGGTTGGTTAGCATTTATATTATAGTAATTCAGTAACTGAGTAGTTTTTATAACTTTAGAACAGAGCAATTTCCATATATTTTGCTAGTTTGGCAGCAGTGTATCAATGCAGATGTGTGAGTTTGCCTTGTTCTGTGCTAGTGGAAATGTGTTTTGGAAATAGAATGCTCGTTTCCTTTTAACTCATTGCTGTTCTGGGTAGCAGCTATTGATGGTGTCTTTTGGATTTAGAAAATGTTTTCGGCCTTTTTAGAGTATTTCAACTTTGCAAATGTGTGCAGGCTGAATGTTTGCCATGCAGAAACTTTACACATTTTTCTTTATTATAAGGATTCCTTCATTGTCTGAATTTCAGACGTGAGTATTGGGAACTTATTCTGGTTCTAAATCTTGTACAAGGGACCACAGTAACAAATGCCTTACATTTACTTGTAGGAAAGGAGCTTGAAACTGAGTAAGAAATACTAGAATTTTTAGAAGTCTCTATTTGTATGGGTCAAATACTTGTTTCACTGTGTTATAAAAGTAACAGAACTTTCTTCTTTTTTCCAGTTACTCAGTAGCAAGAAAAGACATAAAAGAAGTAGATGCTCTAAACTTACCAAAATCGGAGTCCTCGCCTAAAAAAGGTAAATTTGAGTAAATTCTGGGTGTTTTAAAAACGTAGACTTAGCCAGCAGTAATGTTAACTTTTGCAGAGTAACAACTGCTTGGTTTGAAGTGAATGCTCCTGGTCATCTGTTCTGCAGACAGCTTTAAATGTGATAAATTTGAAAAGCTTTGGATACAACTGCCTAATTAATAACATAGCAACTAATAGAAGTGTTGCTTATTTGGTTTTGTTTCTTCTTTCATTCCACTCCAAATTTATGCAAATTAAAAAGGTGATTTTGAAGGTACAGTGTTTGAAATGTCATTGAACAATATAGAGTTACCTCTCCTGGAACCAATGTTTTACACTATAATTGGAACACTTTTTGTCTTTAAATGAAAAGTACCCAGACATGGAAGTGCAACCTTTAATAGAATAGCTTATGTCAATAGCCTGAAATTAACGTTTGATTGAAGAGCTTAATTACAGAGGGTGATTTTCTGAATGGATGGATGATGTGACTGCAGTATTCGTGTTTTTCCTGAGCTTGTGAAGGCCAGTTTCTCACCTTAATGTAAATCTTAAGCTTTTAGTGCTGTTCATCCCAGTCAAAACATATCATTTTTGAAGGGGAAAGGTTCCAACGTTTATTTAAAAAACAAATACACAAATGAGAAAAACCACCACCAAGAGTTCCTTTGTTTTGAGTAAAGATGTGGAGCAGCTTCTTTACATAATGCAAGTAAGACAGCTTGAGGTGGTTTGATTTAAGATTTCCCATGTGCTTTCTTCTTATTAATTATTTCAGAGTACAGGAACTCTACCAGCAGTTATTAGGTGCTGGTGCTTTTTCATCTCTAGCAAAGCTTTGAATGGTTCATTGCAGTATGTCCCTCTTTTGGGTAATCTTCTGATTCCTCCTTGTTGAAGAAAAGGAATTCAAGGTATTCCTGCTATACAAGCATGACTTCTCCCCATACCATCACTCCCTTGTTCATCAGAATGGTTCTCTTATGTTCCAGACACGAATGGGACAGAATCTCCTTAAGCAGCTTTCTTTAACAAAATGTTGGTGTGGGGTTTGTTTGTTTGTTTTGCAATCTAAACTTTAAGGCATGAAGATCTCTTAAAAAGAGCAAAGAAATCCATGGTATCTTAACTGTGATGGTTTGGGGCTTTTGTTTGTTTTTAATTGGTTTTACTGCAGTATTTGCCACTTTCATACAGAAACAAAACAGCTTTGCAGTTACGTGGAAAATGTGGATAAGTAAAGGTCTTTGATACTGTGTAAATAAATAGATGCAAGTCTTAGTAGTGCTCATGAGGATGTGTCTAGGAAATGCCACAGAGTCATAGAATGGCCTGGGTTGCAAAGGAGCACAAAGCTCATCCAGCTCCAAGCCCCTGCTGTGTGCAGGTCGCCAACCAGCAGACCAGGCTGCCCAGAGCCACATCCAGCCTGGCCTTGAATGCCTGCAGGGATGGGGCATCCACAGCCTCCTTGGGCAACCTGTGCCAGTGCCTCACCACCCTCTGGGTGAAAAACACAGATGGATGCTCTCAAATCTAAGCTCCTTGAAGTTCTGATACTTGATCTTTAAAATCTGTCTTTAAGTATGTACTATGTAGACTGAGCGTTTAAAGATACTCCATCACTTACTTTCATTTTTGGTTTAAGTTTGCTTTGTTAATTTACAAGAGCATGAAAAGGAAATTGAAAAATGCTTTCTGATTATAAATACTTGGGATGAAGTAAACATAGGGCCGTTCTTCTGTAGGGCTTCAGGAAGCAAGCACGTTTCTCAGCACAAAGGTGGTTCCTCGGAACTGGAAGATGGACATAAGTGAAATTATGGAATCCTCTAGCAGTGATGAAGAAGATGGAGCTGCTGCAGAAACTGATGAAGAGGAAATAAAAAGAGAAGAGAAAAATGAAGAAGTGCTGGTAAGTCTTCAATTTCAGTTCAAAGCAATTTCAGTTACTCTTCACAGATAGTAGAATAACATGCATGTTTAAAGGTATTCCGCTTCATAAAGCTCTGCTCTGTCTTAACTTCAGTGTGTTTTCAGAGCTGTGCATCCTCCCTTTGCTCCTAGTCAGAAATAAAGAATAAAAGGCAGAAAAGAGTGATGGAAAGAATCTGGGTGAAAGAGAAACGAGCAAATGGATGCTGAAGCAAACGTTTGTGATCCAACACTCTATAAAAATAGCTTTGTATTTTTCTTTTGAACTTCTATGTAGTTCATGTAAGAAAGTATCTTGTTTCTGAAAATCATAGTTAGATGAGAAGACAGATTAAACTACAAAAGCAAAATTGCAGGGCTGACAAAACAGGAACTAATGCACAGTGCCTGTTAGAGCTCTTTGCTGCCTAAGACACCAAAAGCAGTGCAGTACTTACCTTTATATGTGAGTCACAGCATTAGCTTTTTTCTGATCTCTAATAGTACAGGTTGGGGATGGTACCAAGTGGAGGGAGTTTAACACTCAATGGAGATTTACAGCAAAATTTCAGCATTAAGTGATTTTCCGCAACCAGTTTCTTGTCATCAGAAACGTGTTTCTCCTTGTTCCTTTTATACCTGCTACCTGTTTCTAATGTTGATGCTAAATTAGTAACAAAGTTGGAGGAGGGGATTGCTGGTGGGATTTGTTTGTTTTTCCTTTGTTTCTGGCCGTTCTCACGATACGCTTGCCGACGTTTGGTTCTTTATACAGAAAAATCCAGTGAAGTCCCTCTCCTGAGGAAGGTCAAATATCGTTTCCCTTTCACTTCCCCTGCAGCGTGTGGTTTTGTCACAGCGAAAACAGAATGGCTGTTCATACTTGGAGGCTGCCTACGGTGTTGCCACAGCAACATTCTGTTGGCGTGGAGTGAGCATGCTCCAAAAGAGAGGAAGATTTAGCAGAGGCTTGGCAGCCTGCCAGGGGAGGCTTGCCAGATGCTTTGAAATGGGCTGTCTCTTTCTTTGCCTTTCATGTAATGTCTGATTTTTATATTTTTTTTTTTTTTAATTTTTTTTTTTTTTATTTTTTTAATTTATTTATTTATTTTTTTTAATGTGGAAGAGAATGTAAGTGATGCTGTATAACTGCGGATGCCGTGCGGTGAGAGAGAGAGAGAAAGAGAGAGAGAAAGAAAAACAAATATTTGGAAGTCAGGCTGAAATATGTCCAGGCATTGGGCACGATAGGCAGAAAGGAAATAAAACCATTTAACATTTGAAAGAATGCAGCTCGTAGGTAAGGATTCTGTGTTTTCATCTGTAATGTTAGTGTGCTTTGTTGAGAATGTGGATTTGGAGGTAGATTTGTAGATTTCTGATCTGTGAACTGTCTGGTGGAGCATGCAACCAGGCTGGAGCTTTTCACATAGAAAGGACAATAAGAAGCTATTTTTAGGTGTTAATTTTATGGCTTAATTGCTGTTCCGGAAAACAAAGTGGATGTCTATATGGAAATAATGATCTGATTAGATTAAACGTAAGGCCAAATGTGTGTGGAATATAAAATCCTTTGGGGTTTTTCCTCTGTTTGCAGTGAATAGGCCACATTTTTGCAGGGTGTGAACTGTTGCAGTCTGTATTAGTCTGTTTGCATTAATGTTGCCTGAATTTGCTGAATATCAGCACTGAAAATTAAGAATTGATCGACTTGTTTTCTTGTATCCCTTTTTAATGGCATTTTTTGTGGCTTTTGCAGAAAAGTGCTGTGTGTTTTAAACAAAGAAGGGGGAGGGAGAGCTTGGTGGTTTAAAAAAAAAAAAGGAGGAAAAAAAAAAGCATTCCTATAAAAGAAATAGGGCTGTTTTTAAGGAATAATCCAAATATAAAGAAGTGAAACGAAAGATTACAGACAAGCAGATGTGTTGGTATGGAAAGCTGTGGAATCCATTAATTCCAGGTGACAAGTAGGGATATAAAAATAAGGTGAGCATTTTCATGCTGAAGCTGTGTAGCAGAGGAGAGGTAGTAATCTCTTCTGATTCTCAGAGCAGAATTGTCATTTTAGCCCATGAAATCCAATTTCTGATTCAACTGTTAGAATATATGATTTGTTTCAATTGTGGGCCAAGCTAGCTGCTGCAGTAAGAGAGCATTTAAAGAATTTGTCATCATTTCTTCTTTTTTCTTTTTACTTAAAGGGCAGTAATACCAGTTGCAGAGAACTGATGAGTGAATGATGCTGCCTTGCCATTATTTCACTGCAAATGTTGAATTGCTCAGATTTTGCATGTATATTTTGTAGACTTTCTCATTTAATAATCAAGGTCCAAATAGCTTCTGCCCATTCTCTGCCAGAATAGCTTCATTGGACCTATTTTTTGTGGGTCTGCATGTTGTTACGTTGCTGGAAATGGGGCAGAGGTTTACAGAATGATCGTTTTTCCTCCACGCCCCTCAGTCCCATCGTCTGAAACGCAGAGTAGCTTTGCTGTCACGGCTTGGCCTGCTGCTGACCTGCTGTGATAGGCCTTCCTTAAATCAATCAAATGGCCTCAGACCTACTTAATATGTAACGAAAGTATCGAGTCAGTCAGAAGAGTCTGATTCTGAGGGTGGAAGGGATCCTGTTTTTCTGAAGTAGGATCTTTTCTAATGGTAATGGAGCAGAGACCTGCTGCAGCTAGTGATGATAGACCCTACTATTTATCCAGCAGCCGGATTAAAATCTGTAACTTTGTTTTGACACAGGCTGTCTTGCTAATTATGCCACCTTTCATCAGGTATTTATAGTGCAATTAGAATTACTGTTTTCAGGATTTTCGTGGTTGTTCTGTGATGTTTTTCATACTCCGAGGAATGGGAGCAGTACGGTGGCAGTGAGATGCTAATTCTCACTGCTGGTAACTGACTTGTGTGGTCCTGAGTTGATTCTAAAGGAAGAAAAGGTGGAAATTGTTTGCCATTAACTTTAACAAGGATTGCATTGGATTGAGTTGCTCAGCATGTTCACCTGGTTGGATTTTTGGCAATGCTTGCAATGTGTAATGCAACTTGGGATTACTTCTGATTCATACCGTGAGGTTTGAATAACAGAACAGATGTTGCTTGTGTCACAAAAGGTGAGAAAAATTAGGAGGTATTGTAGAAAAGAATTTTGTTATAAAATGAAATTAAAATAAAATAAAATAAAAATAAAAGCCAACACTCTTGGTTTGACTCCAGGTAAGAATTTGGATATTTCTCTTGGTTTTTCGCTAGTTTTCAACCTGGCCTAATGAGGTGGTTGTGATTTAAGGTATGTTTTGCAGTCAAAGGATACACTGCAGATACAAGGAAAGAGAATAGAATCTGAAGTCCAATATCTCCATCAAGATGGAAGCTTTTCTTGTGCTACCTAATTTTTGTTAAAAATCTTCTTTTGTATACTGGTGTATTTGTAATTCAGTGGTTCTGCAAGGGGAGAAATTATCTCTGTTTGCTGCTTCTCAGGATGAAATAACCAAATACCTGCTGTTTTACGGGGGGACTTGTAGGCAGTGTTTGTTCCTTTCGGTCTCCCTGTGGACCTTTCTGACTCCAAAGGAATCAAGATTTCAACATGCAGTCTTCTGAAGTGTATTTTCAGTATGTGTTCTTAATGGGTACGTTAACATAAGACCTCAGTAAGGGTGAGGAATTTGCTTTTAGTTAGAATTTTGTGAGTTTAAAAGGATTTCTGTCCTACCTGTAGAGTTGGCTTTAGTATTATCTTTGGAAGACCCCAACCTGACCTGTTATTCTTCCACTTTTAATTTCCTCCCCTTAATCAAACATGCAAAACATGGCCAGAAAAAAAAACCAAAGACAAATAGTTAAAATTAAAATACTTCCATACTGCTTCAGAGTAGTTCCTGATTCTCATGTGGTCTTTTCTCTCAGAATCACAGAATGACCTGGGCTGAAAAGGAGCACAATGCTCATCCAGCTCCAACCCCCTGCTGTGTGCAGGTCACCAACCAGCAGCCCAGGCTGCCCAGAGCCACATCCAGCCTGGCCTTGAATGCCTGCAGGGATGGGGCATCCACAGCCTCCTTGGGCAACCTGTGCCAGTGACTTTGAAAGAGCAAACAAAATGTTACCTGAATCGTCCGTTTCTGCCCCAGCCCGTGTATAGGGATGGTTGGATTCATGCTTCTTCCTGGTAGTGGTGAACTTTTTAAGGCTTCTCATCTTCATGTATTGCAGAGTTGCTAACCTGTTGCAGTAGGTTTAATTCTTTTCATTCCCTTAATTTAAATTCAGCATCAAGAAACAAACATTAAAATGATGAAAACAGATTTACATTAATGCTGACAACTTGTCCTGAGTGCGCGCTCTTCTGAACTCTGCGTCCTGTACACACTGCTCCTCTTCTTAGCTTGCATTTCTTTCATGTAGGAGTTAACTGTGTTGTTAATCTGTTAATGACATAAAGATCTGCTGCTGGTACCTTGGCTTGCTGTTGAGTGAGTGTATGATGTGCATGCCTGTAAGCATTCTTCCTCTGTGCTCCCACTCAGCTGTTCAGGTTAACATCTACTGAAGCTTCAGCGTTGTTCTGTAGAGTAAATGATGGGTCAGGGTAACTGAGCTGTGTTCTTTGTGAAGATCACACTAAGGAGAGAGGGCTGAACTCATGGTCCATAAAGGGGCTGGAAGGCAAATGAAGCAAAATCAATTAGGAGATTTCTGCAAGTTCACAAGGTTTGTGTTCTGCTTATTTTTGAGAGTAACGACCGCCAAGTAATTTGTACAAAATACATGAGAGTACTGTTAGCATTATTCGAAAGGTAATATGAAATGGAACTGGGAGACACATGATACAGAAGTCCTGTGTTCATTGCTGCTTTCAGTTTTCAGTGTTTATCATATTCTTTGAATGATGTGACCTGCTCATTAGAAAGGACGAACAGACTCTCAAACACCCCCAAATTTGGCTTTTTGGTGATAAGGCAAAAAAGGCATTCTGGAGCTTTATTTATTTATTTAGAAAGTGAAATTAGGTGGCCTGAAACAAAACACATTTTGTCATGTTGCATCTACTTCTGGGTATTGGATGGACAAGAAGAAAGGTCTTGATTTTGAACTCCTGGCCCTAACAAATCTGATGTTGTTTTGCTTCTCATTTGAACTTGCCTTTGGTACTGTCTCTTTTTTGCAACATCTCTGTGAGGAAAATGAAATGGAGAGACAGAACCATCCTTAAGAAAGCTAATTTTGAAGAATTCCCTCTATAAACTTATTTATTCCCAATGTAGAAAATGGGCATGTGTGTCTGGATATAGAGGTGAGCTTTCAGAAGGTATCAGTGTTGCCTCATTGCTGGCTGGAGGGATATTCTAGGAACTGTAGCTCTCCATTCACTCTCTGATGGTGATGGCAGGTTGTGGCATCAGCATTTCATGTGTCATATTGAGGTCACTTCTCAGAAGGAGTTGGGCCTTCCCTGGTGTGGGTGCCAGGCATGACACAGACTGTCCCTGTTGAGTGCCAGCCTGGCTCACGCACAGTCTGCAGGGAGAAGTGAATATGGAACTCAAGATCTCACATACTGCAGTCAGGTTTCCTGTCCCCATTCTGTAAGCATGTAAAAGCTTTCATCTTTCCTTTTTGTTCTTCTTCAGGTGAAAATGCTGCATGTCAGTGAAACAGTTAACGTTCTGTCTGCAAGAGTGCTATTTCTAACCTACATTCTGCTGTTCTGACCTACAGTTCTGGTTTGGCATTCAGCCTCTGTAAAAGAAATGGTTGGAGTGCAGCTCTTCAGAAATACTCCTGAATGCTTAGTGTTGTTCAGATGGATTTGGTTGGTATAGTGAGAGTCGTATTGCCTCCACTCAGTAAACATTACAGTAGGTGTTAGAAATTTCTCGATCGTGGAGTTCGTGATGCAGCTTGTCAAGAAAGGGAAAAGGAGCTGTGGTTTCTATAGCAATAATTCATTTGCTAACCTGAAAGGATGTAATTCTATAGATAACTGTTCCTCTTTATATAATCCCTATAATATGCAACATGAGGAAATGTAATTTCTCATTTAATTTCCTCCAATTATTTCCAAAGAAAAAATGAGAAAATACGAAACAGATACCATCTCTGTCTGACTGTAGGTGATCCCTGTTGGGCTTTGAAGCATAGAATTCACTGATGCAGACAGAGCTGAAATTCATACTGATGCTTGGCAGATTGCTTTCTGGTTAACAAGGCAGTAGCACGCACATTTACATTTCACTGCCTCTCTTCCTGCCTTGGAGCTTTGAGTTTGTAGAACACAGAGGAGGCTGAAGTTGAAATTACAATTCTGCTTTCCTTCTGGAGCTGTGTGTGACTTTTCTGTTATTTTTAATAGAGTAATGTAAGGTTTTTGACACGTGCTCTACGTCTTTCTCTCGAGACACTTGCAGTCTTCCTTGTACAAACTGCCTTTCCAGCAGTCCTGTGATTGCCATGCTGGCAGGAAGAATGTGGCATGCATAAGGCATTGCAGGGAGATTTTGTTGGGCTCTGCTAGAATCTCAGAATTCTGTGAAGTTTATATAGATGTGTAGAAAGTGGATTTTTTTCTCTTGCCTTTCCTCCAACCCTCCCCCAGATTTAATTTGTTTTCATGGTTAAAAGAAGAAAAGCGTTGTTATACAATGTGGACTGCTTACCATAATGTTTAGTAAGTGTTTGTCTTTTTAAGAATTTAAGTTTTAAAGATAAGATGAAGGAACTTAAAATAGAAAAGTATGGAAAATATGTGTTTAGGGAATGGTGGAAGTGTCCGTAAAAGCGTTTCCAAATGTGAGCTGAAGGCAAGCATCAGTGCTTAATCACAAAAGGAATTCGTCTTGAGCATCAAAAATAGGAAGAGTTGGAGAAAGCATTTACCAGCCTTAGCTGTAGTTTGGGTGAGGAAGGTTAGTAAGTAAACAATACTATGTTCCTGTGAACTGCTTCGGTGCTGTAAATAACAGACCTCTTCTGTATTAGAATGAGACACTAAATAATACTTTCATTTTGAGGATCACACTGAATGCTGTTCTTCGTTTTCTTTTTCTCCTCTTGAGGTACCCACTGTAACCCACCGGGGAAAGTTTGTCTTCTGCACGTGTCACCATGTTAAGGGTGTGGGGCCAAGCAGAAAGTGGTTGGGGTTTAGTTTTTGCCGTTGTGCTTCTGTACAAATCAAGTGTTACTTTGCATACCTTGTTTTCATTGTGACCGCATTTGCTTTCGCAGCCCGAGGAAGAGCTTGATCCTGAAGAGAGGGACAACTTCCTCCAACAGCTCTATAAGTTTATGGAAGACAGAGGTAATGCCAGATGAATTTTCTTTCACTTTCAGTCCACTTTTCTGCTGGCTTTTGAATGTGTGCTGGATGTTGTTATGAGCATGTTCTCACATCAGTGAACAAGGATAACAGCCTAGACAGGGGAAAACACGCATTTTCAAGTGGCAGATCTGCTTCAAGTTCTTTGAAGCACAGTGCACACAGGAAACTTAAATCCTCCTTCAGATGTTATTGTTTTGCTTTTGTAAAGCCTTTTTTTTTTGTGTTAACAGTCACTGTTAAATAAGCTCTTGGCTGTTTTCTTGTAACAGCCACGGCTGGGAGCTCTGCTGCTGTTAGACTTAGGCTGGAACCTGAGGAGGCTGTTCATGGATGATGAAATTCGACCAGCAGATAATAAGAGAAGTGCCATCTTCAGCCCCTTGCCTTAATCATGCACAGATGGAGCAGTGATACTCACCTGAAGAAAGAACGTTCTACTTTGTCCAGTAGCTAGAGCAAGAAAATGGCATATTTAAAATGATTTTAGAATCAGAGTTAGGTGAGACTGTAATGAATTGGAACAGTTAATGTCCTGGGGTAAGACATCCATTGGAAAGGCTTGTGCAACGTTTAGGTGGTCAGCAGGTGCATCCTGCTCCCTTCAGAGAACTGTTGCATAAACCATTCACATTTGCAGTTGTGACGAGACTGATGCTATATGGTGGTGTCAGAATATTTCTCCCTTATTTCCTTTTAATGGAAGAAAAAAACCAACTGGATTTTATAGTGGAAAATACGTTGAAAAAGCCAGCTTACCTTTTGTTAAAGATTGCTGCGTTGCTATGTCTATGACTATGAAAGTCTGTTCAGTATTGCCAGTGCTTATCACAGGCTTAGAAACAGATCATGTATTGTGGCAGAGTGCCAGTATCATTTTGAGCCTGTCTGTGTAGGACCAGTGTTTCTACGGATAACCTGCCTTGGAGAAGTAAGAGGTTTTTAGGGAAAAATAAAACTTAATAATTAAAAAAAAATGTTGCTGGAGTAATCCAAATATTTTCACTTTCCCAGTTGCCTGGGTCCTCCCCCTTCTATTTTCTTCCTTCCCTACTCCCTTAAGCACTCTTAGAAACCTTCTATGAACCAAGAGGAGGGATGACATCAGTGACTTGCAGAGGAGAAACAGGAAGGTGTCTGTGCACTTAATTTGAAGACCCAGTGCAGGAATTGTCCCTTAATCCAGCGTGTTGATTGAGCAATATTCAGGACTTCTCAGGACTGCGTCTTTCTCCCTGCCTTTTTTTTTTGCCTTTTTTTTGTTTTTCAACCTGTGCCCTTTTAGCAGTATTTCTATTCTTGCCAGATTTGTTCTGTATTCTCTGCTCTGACTGTGAATGTTTCCATTCATGTAATCGTGACATTATTCCCAACGTCCTACAGAGTTCTTTTCAGGATTCTAAATACTATTGCATGAAATTGAATGGAGATGACAAAGCAGTGGGAAATGGGGTGATATTCCTCCATGCTGGGAAGGATGCTGTACATACACAGCTACTTGCCCGAAGTCTCTTTTGGTTTCTCCTTTTGTAATTAATTATTGTTCTTTAGATCATTGCCACTCATCTGATTCAGATCCTTTCTTTTTCCCAAATATTCACATCCTATTAGGAATTTGTGTTGTTTCACATTCTGATTGTTTGTCTGTGTTGCATTACAAAAAGAAACATTTCTGCCCCCATCTCATTTCTTTCAGACCACAGTGCTTGGAGTTAAGCTCTTCACATGTTGCCGTATTCCAGCATTCATCAGGCACTCTGTACAGCTTGCTGCAGTTCTGCTGCCCCCCACCTCCAAAGGGGAACAGTGGGATGCAGCCAATTGGATAGGGATTATTGCACAAATCATAGTTATCAGGCAGCTGCTGCCAGCACGCTAATAAACCACCCAGAAATTTGTGATGTGTTCAGAAGAGGGTGAAGCCTTGATTGTTGGTGGGAAACTACTGACTTGTGACACATCTTGGAGCTATTAAATAGAAATGTTAAAATGCAGAAGACTTAGTAATGAACTGTGTGCTGAATGAATGGAGGAAGCAGTTTGCTGTTCTTTGTGATGATTTTTATTCCTATTTTTGTTTCATTTAGGTACTCCTATCAATAAACCACCAGTTCTGGGCTACAAGGACCTTAATCTCTTCAAACTGTTTAGACTGGTATATCAGCAGGGTGGGTGTGACAATGTAAGTGTCGGGTGTTCCCGAAACTAAATGCCTCATCCTTCTTAAAGGCTGTGACCTGTGTGTGTGTTAAGTGTCATTCCTTCATGTTCTCGCTCAACAAACCATGACAGCTTACATTTCTCTTTCTTTTTGTCTTTTCTCTCCCCAAAGATTGAGAGCGGTGCTGTTTGGAAGCAAATTTATATGGACCTTGGCATTCCTATTTTGAACTCGGCTGCTTCTTACAATGTAAAAACTGCTTACAGAAAGTAAGTTCTATTGTGAAATGATGAAAACATTACTTTTTGTTGTTGTTGTTGCTGTTGCTGCTAATAGCATGTACAGCATTCAAGCAGTTTTTGGTAGTTTAATGGAACAGTAGTTGCCATTCTTCAGTTAATTAGCAATTTTGAGCATTTTCCATTGCCAAGGATTGAATAGATGGAGGAAAGGAGGAGTGCTCAGGGCTGCATTAGAGTTGTGCTCATTTTTTTTAATCAGGAAACATTCATTTTCAGCATACGATGATGCCATTTCAGCATACAACAACAAAAGTTATTAAAAAATACTTGGGCAAATTCAGGTTTGCAATTTATGGTTATTAATCTCAGTTGCATGCTGTTCAAGTCTCAGATGCTGCCTACAGAGAGCAGATTTTTTTTTTATCAGTTTTTTTTTAACTTCCTCACAAATGTTGATAGAGAAGGATATCAAACTGCATGTTTAAATGTCATCTTTGTTTGGATTCTGTAAATTAATAGCTTCAGAATTACATAATGAATGTAGACTGCTATGGTGGATATGACAGTGTTGTGTAGTAGAACTACTACTGTAATAAAAATGTGTGAAACTTTATTCTAACACCTGCTTTTGAGTCATGTTCTGACTTTTGAAATGGAAACCTTTTAGGATTTACATTTTTTTTCAGGCTCATTTTCTAAATAAAGATTATTTTTATTATTTATTCTCCTGAAAGTTTGAACAAGAAACAATTGGGCTTTTTGAGTAGAAGGGAAGAATGAGGTTCTCTTGACTCGAACCTAAGGAAATTTGGCTGATTGAATAGGGATGAATGACTAATGACTCAACTCATGTTAATGTTGATGAAGATGAAAATGTTCAGACTATCTTCAGTGGCATTTGAAGTGGGCACATATTTAAGGTCTGTATTTTACAGAGAAGAGTATGTATCATTAAAAAAATAAATATCTGCTAGGTTGCTGTTGATGTGAAAATAATTGTTGTACGGACACATGATAGTGTGTTGTGATTTGCATTTTTATTCTTTGAGGGAGCTGCTGCTTCACATTTCCCTCACCTGTAACTGGATTACAGTGTGTCCACAGGCAGTTAACAGAGAGCAAGCTGATGCATGACGATTTGTTACCTTGTGGTAACTTGCTTATATGCCCATATTCTAATACTCGGCTGATCTTTGCTGTCACTCCATGTTTGCAAAACTGTGTATATGTTCTTAGGCTTCACTGTCATGAGCTCTTAGTTGAAGAGAGATGAAGTTAAATTTGTGGGAAGCAGCTGTGTGTACGTGCTGAGTTGTCTTTTTCACTGCTTGACTTCTTGTTCAGAGTTGTTTTATTTCAAAAACTGCTCTTCTGTTTTCATTTTTTTTTTTCCCTGAAGTTATTGTTCTTCCCTGTGAGCAGGAAAATAGGTTCTTTTTGCACTTAGATAAGCAAAAAGAAAAGCTGAAATGTAAATCAAACTCATGCTTGTTTCATACAGGTATCTTTATGGTTTTGAAGAGTACTGCCGTTCTGCAAACATTCAGTTTAGGACCATTCATCACAATGAACCAAAAGTGGTAGAAGACGTACAGAAACACGAGGAACCAATGGAGGAGAGTGTGAAAGAGGAGCAAAAAATGCCTCCAACAGAAGCAAAAAAGGAAGCAGAAGAAAATTATTCCAGCAGCGAGAGCGAAAAAGAAGAAATAGAGCTAAGATCCCCAAGGGTAAGTAGTTCAGACTGATTTCTACTTAAACCCTTTGTATATTGAACAGTTTACATAATGAGTTTTCCCTTGTGCAGCAACTGTACGTTGGAATTAGCATTCTTACAGGACAGCATTCAGTGAAGAAGAGTTGGTGTTCAGTTGTTAATTACATTTTGATTATTTCTTCACTTTCTAAACCTTCCATAGGATTTGCTAAGGCTGTGTTGGTTGTCAGTTGTGTTTCTATTCAGGGATGGTTTGAGAGCTGCTGAGAGCTGTATGTCATCAGAACAGTGTGAACCAGCAGGATAGTCCTGGTTGTGGGTGAGAACTTCCACTTGCACGTGGAACGTGAGGCTTTGTGTCAAGAAACAGGCATATCAAGGGAGTGCTGAAGCCTTAAGAATCAAAGGAAGACCCATTTCTTACCACAGAAAGAGTTGATTCTTAGCACAGTATCTCTTCATAACATACTTAAATGTTCAAGTCACTGTGCAATGTCCCTGTCAAAGATACGTCAGTAGTAAAATGATAAACCTGTACTAGAGCCCCAAGAATCAGTCTGAGAAAGTCCCAAACAGCAGGTGTCCCACTGCTGAAAATACCTCTTAAACATTCAGTATTTGTAATGCTGACAGATTTCTGTGAAATCAACAGGTAGCTGTTGGGAGTGGAGACACTAAAAGGAAGGTGTCTTGTCTCAGTCCAATACGAGCACTTAAACAGCATTGCTGTTGTTGTCAGGGACAACAGACCTTGCAGGCATCCAGCTTTGCTTTCTGGTGTTATCTCCAGCCTTTCTTCCATACAGGAGTAGTGTATTTGGAGAGCCTATCAGGAGAACAAGTGACAGTAGATTTTAACCAGGTTTTATTTGTGTTGTAGGGACGAAGACGGCTTGCCCGTGACACAACCCCTGCTAAAAAAGAGAGTGAAGATGATAAAACACAAGACAAATTAAAAGACAACAACAAGGAAAACAAAGATATAGAGGAAACCCTCGAGAATGCAGAAAAGAAAGAAAATGAAACTCTACTAGGAAGAAAAAGTACGCCAAAGCAAAAAGAGAAAAAGATAAAAAAACAGGAGGACTCTGATAAAGAGTCAGATGAAGATGAGGAGAGGCAGAGGGAGAGGTAAGCATTAATTTGTGTCACCTTCTTAGCAGTGTATCTGTGTCAGGGCACTTGTTAAGCAAGTGCATCCACAGAATTCGGAGGTCTGACTAGTTTCTAAAGTGTGAAAATCAGAAACCTCATTTGCTCAGCTGGAAAGGAAAAGGAAACTGCTATTTTGGGCTTGCAGAGTTGATTATATTTGAAGGAATTACCTTTTTCTGGTAGATGGCAGGCAATATTTTTCACTTCCATCTTCTTGAAAGTCCTGCCAAGATCTGTTTAATCACACTCCTATGTAGACAACAAGTAAGACAGGCTGTTGTATGGATGGTGAGCAGCTGGGCAGTTAAAGCATAAAACATAAACAGTTAAAACATAAAGCTTCTCTGTTGTTAGTGATGACTGGTGAATGCACAGCTCACTTATTTTCATGGTTACTTAAATGTATCATTGGTAGGCAGAAGTTCAGCTAGGAAAGCAAAGGAGAAGAAAAGAGGAGTTTGAATGAAACCTGAAGATGAGTTGAAAACTATTGGATGGAGAGTTGTAGAATGGCAAAGACAGACTGACTGAACAGTGGATGGATGAGGAAAGAGTAGAGAAAAGAAATGATTGTCCAAGGGAAAACACTGTCCAGAAACAAAGTTTGGCAAGTGTAAGTGGGCTTGATCAGAAGCAAGCTGTCACCAGGTGTCTCACATTGTTGTCAGAGTGGTTGAGGGCATTATCTGAGTTGTTTAAGCTGGCCTGCCTGCCTTGTTTTTCTTGTCCGTGTGGCTGAATTGTGTGGGACGCAGCTGATACTGAATTAAGCCTGGTGGGGTTATTTCTTGTTTTCCTCTAAGGAGGTTTGAGGAGCAGGAGCAACACACAGTTATTTTAAAGAAAGCTTCACTGTGCAGCCCAGAGAGAAATCCTGTATGCAAAAAAGTATGCAAAAAGGGGGTGCAGTGGGTGTGTGGCAGGTTGCAGTCATATCAAGTGAGTAGGGCATCAAAGATATTTTGAGTAATGCAGGTGGTGCTCATCATCTTCATTTTTATTCTGTTTGCCACAACAGAATAGTTCATCTGTCCCTGGTGAATACATTTTATTCAAAGTAAACTTGTAGTCTTTCAGGATTTCCTCCACTGCTGACTATTCTTGTGGTTTAACATCGCTCTAAGTTCACCCTAGCAACAGGTTATGATTGTAGGAACTACGTTTAGGTATTGTGTTCCAAGGTTGGATATTGCTAACAATATGTAGGTATAGACAGAAGAGCTGTGTAGACACTTCTGATCTTGGTTAAAACTGTGGTAGTCAATATTTGTTCCATTGGAATGGTGTTAATATCTGCAACAGGATCGCTGTCCTTCAAACTCCATATGCTGTTAATAAACTTCAGGCTATTAAGCAGCGTAGGAGGAAGAGACTATTTTTTACAGTAGTGTGTCAAAAGCAATTATATTTTAAAAACTGAAGTTAGTTTTTCCTATCTTAGAAGCCAAACACTGCGTTGATTGATTCCTCTTTCTGAGTTATCTGAATTTTCTTTAAAGTCCTCAGCCTGCAGAGTTGTGTTCAGGCTGGCTTTGGAGGCAGGGCGTGATGCAGAGAATGAGCATTTTTGTTGCAGTTTTCTTTCTTTGGTAGCAGCTTGGCTGTGCTAATTAAATGTTAAAACTTTGTCACTAATTAGTGGGTATTTAAAATACATTTTATTGCAGGGAGGAGATTGAGAACAAAGGAGAATCAGAAGGTGAAGAGGATGAGGAGGATACAGAACCTTGCCTGACTGGAACCAAAGTGAAAGTAAAATATGGACGTGGAAAGACACAGAAAATTTATGAAGCCAGCATTAAAAGCACTGAGACTGATGATGGAGAGGTTTTATATTTAGTGCATTACTATGGTTGGAATGTAAGGTGAGGAGATAGCATGTCTTGATTTCTAAAATGATGGTTACTTCCAAAAGATTTTAAGAAAAAAAAGAGAAAGATAATCAGTGGCTTGGCTGGAATGGAATTGTCAGCATGGTAGTGTTATCTGATTGTTCCATTTTTCAGTGGTAGTAATTTTGTTCATGGCATGTTGCTGTAGTATTAAAATCTCAGAATGCACTTGTATGTTTCCAAGTTTCCATCCTGCTTACACTGTGTAATCCTCTCTCCTCACAGAAGTATCCATGTAATTTATTGTGCCAGCTGGTGTCACCAGCGTCAGGCTTGAGTTTAAAGAAGCACTGGTAATAGGGAAGATGCCTTCAATTAGAAGATATACAGGCACTGAGATTTTGGCAACAGAATCTATTCTTGGATTCAGTGTTCCCTGTGATTATCAAGAATGGTTGTTACACGTGGGGAGGTTAGGAGAGAGCCCAGCAGCAAGGAACTAGAGAAAAAAAATGATCGGATTCTTCTCTTGGCAGCCATGCTTTATATTCAGTACAGCTGTAGAAATTGCTAGGTTTTGTTGTTGTTTGGAAAATGGTGATTACATAAGCAAAAATATAACAGAATTAATTTATTATTATAATTATTTTTAATAAAGCCTTTCAAGTATATAACTTCAGGTGTTCCAAGTCTGTGAATTTCTGAGTAAATTGAGCAAATTCCTTTTAGTGGCAATGTGAAGTTTGTTTGTGAGGTCGGTATCCTTCAGACAGTTTAATGGAAATTCAGAAAAAATTACTAGATTTTTTTTGAAACTTAATGTAATAATTTATTAGCAATGTAGTTGATCTTCCTAATGCCAGATACTCCATACATGTGTAGATCTGTGCTCTGCTTTGCTGCCTCTCTTTGGAAATGTTTTCTGTAATTTTCTAAACATCCTGTTGCAAACAGCCTTCTTGTATCTAATATGTTGTGACTTGCTTGTAGGTATGATGAATGGGTGAAAGCTGATCGCATTATCTGGCCTGTGGACAAAGGAGGACCAAAGAGAAAACAGAAGAAAAAAACAAAAGTAATACAGATGATTTCAATAAGTTTCTTGTAGTACCAGACTTATGACTATCTGTGTTCCTTATTTAAAAAAGAAAAAAAAAGATTCAGTCCAAGCTCTGGCTTTCTAATAAATGTGCAGGGAAAAAGGAGAAGAATTTTACACCTTAATAATAAAATGTTAATTTTCTCCCCCAGAATAAAGAAGACAGTGAAAAGGATGAGAAGAAAGATGAGGAGAAACAAAAATCGAAGCGTGGGCGACCTCCTCTGAAATCTACTCTTCCATCAAACACATCTTTATCCAAAACACCGAATAGTGAAGGTAAATCAGGAGCCAGAAGTGCACGGAACAACTTGTCAGATTCCTCACCTTTGCCAAATGGAACAGAAGGTACATCTGGTGCACTCTCGTTCTGGCATGGAAGTGCATGTAAACAGTGACGTAATGCAGTGCATTGACACGACACCTTCAGTGAACAGAGTGCTTTCAGAAGCTTTAAAATCCTGCTTAACCAGTCAGTGTACAAAGCAATATGACAAAAACACATTTCTGGTGCAGATTTGACTCTGTGAAAATTAATATTTTCAATTTTGATTTTAGCAACACCTCGCAGGCAGACAAGACGTAGCTCAGGAATGTTTGATTCTGATAGAGGATCAAACGGTGAGTGATCTCAGTCCTGTGTATGTTTTTGAGGGTTTTTTTTTTTAGTACCTTTTTTGAAAAGAAATTTTAAAATTATTATTTTTTATTATTATTATTATTATTATTTTTAACCTGCCTGTGAATTTTTATTGAGGAAGCAGGTGAATTGAAACTGCTGGAGAACACAATTTGCTCACAGGAGAGCCATGGCATGGAAGTGACAGTGCAAGTCATCCCATATTCTTTAGCCAGAGCCTTTCAGTCTTAATCCTGAGCAGACCTAGTGGAATAATAATAGTGTTTATAATGGAAGTTAAGTCCTCAGCCTCAGTACTACATCATCCAGTAAAGAAGTTAATTATATACAAATGACAGTGATATTTCTGGTATTTCTAAGCCTCTGCAAATCAGAACTGAAGTGAAATCGCCGCCTCTTTTTAGTGTGGGTCCCTGAATAATCTTCTGGTAACATCATAATGCTGAAGTTTTATGTGGTGTGTGATTCATACAATAATTTAGCAGTGTCCACGTGGGAATCTGTACAATTATTTTTGCTACTAGAAACTGTGATACAGTTATACTGGATAATTTAGGCAATAATACTGCCATCACTACTATTGTTGAGTAGGGGCTTGGGGTTGCAATAAGAACTGTAGTAAGTGGATTTTTTGTAGTTTTTTGGGATTGCTTGTTGTAAATTGATTTTAATTGCATAGATTACTGGAAAAGAGTTTGTAGTTGAAAAAAGTAATAGTTCTGTATTAAATGACCTAGGCTGCTTTTCCCTTCCATTTCTTCATTTCTTTGTTTTAAAATTTTTGCAGACTCTGCTTCGTCTGACAGCGAGGCAGATGAATCATCTGAGAAGAACATGAATGAGGAGTTTTCTCCAGAAACTTCAGAACTGGAAAAGAATGAAAAACAAAATGATGAGAAGCTAGACGAGGAAAGCCCAAAGATTCCTCACGCACTGAGAGAAAATGACAGGACTCAAGTGCAGCCATTAGAAATCCTGAAACTGGAAGTCGAAGAAAGTGAACAAATAGTGCAGATTTTTGGGAATAAAACAGAGCAAACGGAAGAAGTCAAGAGGGAAGCTGAAAAATCACCTAAAGGAAAAGGGAGAAGGAGCAAGACAAAAGATCTCTGCTTAGAGAATGCAAAGGTTTCTCCAGGAAGTCAAGAAGAGGTGGCTAATGAGTCTCTTACAGAAAATGAAAGATTAGACATGTCTTCCTTGGACTGCAAAGAGTTCTCCAGTACTACTGAAACTGAAACAGAGCCTTCCACAAAAGATAAGAAGCTTTTGAAAAGGAAGATTTTGGAGCAGGCTTCACCTGAGAAAAGAAGTCGACGAGAGAGTGAGATGGAAGTCCCAAATATTGTATCTGAAGAGAGGACCAATGAATGTACTGGGGCAGAGGAATGTAGAGGGCTGAATGCTGAAGGGTCACTCAGAACTGAAAATGAAGAAATGCCATCCCTCGTGGCAGAATCTGTGCAGCATGGGGAAGAGCTGAGGAGCGAGAACTTTCAGCGACCGTCTGAAGAGAATGATAACGTTCCCTTGAAAGATGAGGATGACACAATGCCTCACATTGGTCCTGAAACTTTGCTCTGTCATGAAGTGGACTTGGATGACTTGGACGAAAAGGAGAAGAGCAGTAGTGAAGATACGATATCGGAAAAGCCAGATCCCAGTACTTCAAATCCAGCTGCCTTACCTGCTGCTGTCCAGTCGAGCTTCTCGGTGGCCTCACCTCTGACACTTAGTCAAGACGAGTCCCGCAGCATCAAGAGCGAAAGTGACATGACTATTGAAGTGGACAGTGTGGCAGAAGAATCTCAAGAAGGGCTCTGTGAGAGTGAGTCTGCTAATGGATTTGAAGCCAGCACTACGTCCAGCAATTGTAGCATAGTGGTGCCAGAAAGAGACGTTGGAGAGAAGGGTGAGCATTTCCTGGGAGGCGTCAGTCTCTGTTTGTAGTGATTTCTGGACTTCTTCAAGTCTGGTATTACGTTGCTAAAGCTTACTACTTTGCTTTGCCTTCTAGCTTTTAATGTCTTTCTTGCTTATAAAAAGTGCTGGCTAATGGCAGAAATACTTGAGATGCTTTCTTTTTTTTTTCTCTAACTCATGTAGGTCAAAAAAGGCCCAGTGATAGCAATAGTGGAACGCTGGCAAAAAAACAAAAGCGTACTCCAAAGCGAACAAGTGCTGCAGCCAAAAATGAAAAGAATGGAACAGGTACATGCCTCAGGGAGATGAGGGGGAGGTTATGCTGTCACACAAACATGCATAGGGCCCACTGTTTCACTGTGACATGTTATTTCTGTTAGATAGGACTTGTGTTCCCATAGCTCATTTTTGGTGATTAGATCCAAACTGAAGAGGCTGAATTGAATGAGTCAGTGTATTTAGGCACTACAAGAGCACTGTTAAAGTTTTAAAATATCAAGCTAAAATAGTAATTATCTGACGTAGAATATTCAGGCATACTTAACTGGTTATGTGGAATATTGTAATTATTGTGGGAATCCAAAATATTTGCATATTGTGTAGCTTATGATTTTCTGTTTCTCGTTAAAGCTTCTGTGCTGTTAGTCATGTTTTAGAAGTGTTTCAGGTTTTTAAAGCAATTTAGTAAATACACAAGCAGTGTAGAATATCTACACAGTTGTGTGTTACCTGCTTATTTTTTGTTTTTTAAATGAAACTGTTCAGTGTCTGTTTTCAATTAGAATCCCAAAATAGGAGCCAAAGGCACCTAGTGAATCTGATGCAGTTTTTTCCAGTGTGCATTTTGGAATTTTCTGAGCAAGAAGCAACTGGTCTGTCTTAATAATTTTTCTAACTACAGCTACAGCTTTCAAACCTTGATCATTTTCATGAAATTCAAATACATTTCTCTTACTGCAGGACAAAGCAGTGACAGTGAAGACCTCCCTGTCCTGGACAGTTCCAGTAAATGTACTCCTGTAAAACACTTAAACTCATCAAAACCACAGAAGATTTCTCGATCACCTGCAAGAGTGATTTCACCTCACATCAAAGATGGAGAAAAGGACAAACACAGAGAAAAACACCACCACCAGAATTCTTCACCTAGAGTATACAAGTGGAGTTTTCAGCTCAGTAAGATTGTTGGGTTTTTTTGTTGGTTTTTTTTTTTCAATATCAACCAAAATTGTGAAAGACAAACTTTCTTGAGGCATTGCGCCTTCTGTATTTTAGAAACGTTTCAGCAGAGCTTTTGGAATTAATCCTTAAGTTTCACAGTTATGTTCACTCCTGTTTCATTTAAAATAATTATAAATTCAAAATTATCCTTTTTTCCCATTTCACTGAGGCAGGGGAGGTTTAGGTTGGATATGAGGAGGAGGTTTTTCAGCCAGAGGGTGGTGAGGCACTGGCACAGGTTGCCCAAGGAGGCTGTGGATGCCCCATCCCTGCAGGCATTCAAGGCCAGGCTGGATGTGGCTCTGGGCAGCCTGGGCTGCTGGTTGGTGACCTGCACACAGCAGGGGCTTGGAGCTGGATGAGCACTGTGCTCCTTTGCAACCCAGGCCATTCTAGGATTCTGATACCCCGTCCCATGTTTCCCTGTTCACTTGATCCCAGATAATTTTTGGCCATCTTTCAGTAAATTTGGAATTATGAAGCCTCTGTCCACTGGAATCCCAACTCTCCTATGCTCCTCAAAAAAATGAATGTAACCAAAAACTGAGGTTTTGGTGGAGTGGTCAAAGTATTAAATTGCAGTTCAGGAATTGAGACTGCTAAAATCAAGGCTGTGATTGAAGAGGTGGGGATTAGAAACTAGGATGCTAAACAACTATTTGCTGTATCTTATCTTGGTTTTTCATTATAAATATAGCTTAAAATTAAAATTGATAAGGAGAGTTTGAGTGTTAGATACCTCCCTCCTCTCCCTGATGTGTTACTGTGTAAAGAAGGATGTCTTGTTTAAAGAGTGCATCTAGCAGGAAGAGTGGAATATCTGCAGTGTAACCTCTCCTCATGGGCAGCATGATTCTTACTTGTGTTATTTGCCTGCTTTAAGGGCCTTGGATTGGGGGGAATTTGCAAGAAAATTCCTTCTAAAAAGAAAATTGTGTGAGTTTTGTTATTCTAAATTAGGCATGTGCCTTTTTGGTGTAGTTGAGAGAAGCAAGTGTTGTCTTTAGTGCTCCATCTTGTATACTCGAAGAGTTGCGTTCGTTTCTTCATCACCTCCTTTTTCTTCCTACTTTTAAGATGAACTGGACAACATGAGCAGCACTGAAAGGATCTCCTTCTTACAAGAAAAGCTACAGGAAATCCGAAAGTACTACATGTCTCTGAAGTCAGAAGTGGCCACCATAGACAGGAGAAGAAAGCGATTAAAAAAGAAAGACAGAGAAGGTAACATTCAGTTTTGCTTTATGGACTTAAATGATCTCCACAGGTCCCGTCCTGCCCCTATTATCCTGTGTGATTCTGTGTATGCTTCCCCTGAGATTGTCAGCATTTTTCATGAGAATACAGAACCTGAAGCAATTATTGGACAGCATTCTGGGGGAGAAAAAGTGGTATCTGTTGTCTTTCGTATATGTACATGTTTAGAAAGTGTATCTTTGACTTTCCAGAATGTGAACCTAGCAAAAACATTTACTGACTGTATTATAATTGTCCTTTGGAAATGTGGAATTTCTAGGGAAATCATGAGGATTAAGAAGGGAAGATTGAGGTTGGAAGTCAGGGGGAAGTTATTTGCTATGAGAGTGGTGAGGTGCTGGAACAGCTGCCCAGAGAGGCTGTGATGCCCCGTCCATCCCTGGAGGTGTTCAAGACCAGGTTGGATGGGGCCCTGGGCAGCCTGGGCTGCTGTGAGATGAGGAGGTTGGTGGCCCTGCGTGCGGCAGGGGGCTGCAGCTTTATGATCCTTGAGCTCCCTTCCAACCCAAGCCATTCTGTGATTCTGTGTTTTGAGTCAGCATAGTAAACCATCTAATGGATTGTTGCAGTTGGTGTGTGATGCAGGAAGGATAAGGTCACTCATTGAGTTTATGTGAGTATAACAACGGAAAGAGCTGCCAGAAGTTCACACCTGTTTCTGCAGTATGCCAAATCTCCGAGGTCTTTTTAATATGTATTAAGTATAGGCACCTTCATTCTCACTTGTGCTTTCGTCATCCGATGCTGACATGTTCTCTGTCTTCAGTGTCTCATGCAGGAGCATCCATGTCATCTGCTTCATCAGACACTGGAATGAGTCCATCGTCGTCCTCCCCTCCACAAAACGTGCTTGCTGTAGAATGCAGGTGATACACGTTGCTCTGCCTTGCCAGCAGCTTGCTGCCATGGACTTCAATCCTGACATTCAGCCACAGAAAGCACTCGACTGGTTTGACATTGCCAAGTATATCCTGTACACACTTCCACTGCTGGACTGTATCTGTTCTCCCCTCCTTCCCTCTCTTTTGTTGTTGTTGTTTTGTTCTGTTTTTAAGTTACCGTTCGGAGAAATTAAGCTCATTGAAGGTTTGTAGGCACAACGTGACATGCTTGTCATCGTGTTTGTTTCTGTTTTGTTTTTGTTAATGCAGAGCAAGGGCACTTATCAAATTTGAAAAGTTATGTCCAATGAAGCATTCAGGTGTTCTCGGGTAACCTTAGAGAAGCAAGTGCACCAGGTAGAGACATCAGAGTATTATCCAAATGAACTGAGTAACTGCTGCACTTTCACCGAGCCGTGGTAACTCGGTGAGTAGTTCCTCTTTGTGGAAGCACTTGCTATACAGAACTGCCAAAGTACGTGTTCAGCAATGTGCCCAGTTTTAAAGGTGTAAATGGGACAAAATAAATTGTGAAAGGAAGTGTAGTTGACTGAAAACTACAGTTGTAATAAGTCTTCCACTTTTTATAGGATTTTTGAGCACACAATTATGCAAATATTTTAATGTTTATTAATGTTTACAGTGGAATTGTGAATAGGTTTTCAGTGGACTATCTTATCCCTTGACAAAAATATTTTGTCTTTTTTCTATGTAATTTCAGAGTTTTTATTTTGTTACAAAAAGACGAAAAATGAATATATAACAACAATGAAGTTATTTAACAAGATTTCTAAAGCTGAAATTTTTGTGTAAAATAAGGTATCTTGCAACTTGTTAAATATATTTATTCAGACATTGGATGTTGTATTTTTATGTATTTTTTAAAATATTAATAAAATTGGAAAAAAAAAAAAAGAAAAAAAAAAAAAAGCAAGCAACCAAACTAGGTTAGTTCACTCTTTCAATAAAACACAGCTGTCAGTTCTGGCTCTCACAGGAGGATTTACCCGTGCCTGCATTGAAATGGGTCCGGCTCTGTGTCCTCCACCACGCAGATGTGGAAGCGGGCATCTGGATTCAACTCTGACTTTGGTTGGAAAACTTTGGCAGTCCTACTCACCTTGTTTGGAGGAACAGAATCAGTTGGGTTGCCCTTAAGATACTTTGTCGCGAGTTCTTATGTTTGCTATGCTGCCGAATGAATTTCTATCTCCCAAAGTTGAGATGCAACCATAAGGTAAAGCAACTTTGTATGCTTTTGTCTGTGGATTGTCCCACAGACAGATACAGTTTGTAAATAACTCTTCCAAAACCATGTATTTAAAGCAGTTTGCATATACATTATGTATAAAAGCGATTTTTTTATCAATTTTTTTATTCATGTTTGTACATTGGAAGGGGTTCTTGGCCCCTTTTTCTGTGTTTAATATGCTGTAGACTAATAACATAGATGCTCTAGACTGTATATCGGGATATTCTGGTTCACACAGCAGGAAGTCAGAAGGAAACACTAGTGATGGAGTAGCATTACTAAAATCAATGTTTCTTGAAATCTCATTTTACAACATTTGTCAACTTGTGATTCCAATTCCTTCCATTTTTGCAGAAAATTAAAGAAAAAGTACTCTTGTAAATGCACTTTTTCTGTCTTTTCTTAAGCAAAGCAGAACTATTTCAATGTAAGATAATTATGGAGCTCAGTAGACAGCATTAATAAAGGCCGTGTTTTAAACATAGGCTTTACATTCTATTTTTATTGAAATGATTGTTCTTGTAAATGCCTGGGCTTACCTAAACAGGACGATCAATCTGCCTGAATGGTTGTGAAGACCTTTTTCCTGAGCTGATTTACTGTTACTCTTACGTAGCTGTGAATAAAAAGCAATACTGATTTCAAAGGAAATCACGTGGGTCACAGTTCCTCAGCTCATCTCCCACGACTGCTATTAGAAATAATTTTTCTATTCCAATACGATCAGTTCTTACTTTACACAGGTCTCTAACGTCTGCCTACAGATTGCTTGATGTCTCCAGCAGACGTGCACACACTCAGCATGTGTAAGGCCATGGATGGGCTCTCAACTGTCTGTATTTCAGCACAGAGGTTCACTTACAGCTTCTCCTTATCTCTTAGGAATGTTTACCTGCTCACGTCAGCCCAGAGCTCCTCAGAGCCCTGAATTCTGTGACTGTCCCAGCAGAGAGCTGCACAGCCAGGAGAGGTGGATGACTTTCTGCCAAGCCTGGAGCACGTCACTGCCTTCCTGCTTCTGTCTCTGGCAAGAAGGACAGCAGGTAGCTGAGATTATTCAGTGGATGTTTCAAGGAATATTTTTAAATGCCTGTAGAAACTGTAGTGAAAAGAGTATTATATAATGTGGAACTACGCTGCTCTAAAATTGAAATCGACAAAACACTCTCCAAGGTCTTTTATTTCTAACTTCACAATCCCCTCATTTCTGTGTTGTTGCCATAAAGCAAACTCCAGAGTGCCTTTTCAGCGCCTTCAATTATGAATGTATTGAATTGGGATTTTTTTTATTTTTGTTTTAAGAGACGTTTGCAGGAGCAATGAAAACCAAAGCACCCTCTTGGCAGACCTCCCTGTTCTCCTGCCTCCTGATCTCCAGGTTGTGTCAAGATGAGAAGCACGACTTCCAGCTTAGTTGGCAAGGTGAAATAAACTGCAGAGGATGATGGAATCAAATACTCTTAGAACTGTTAGAAAGAGCTGGGCTCTAGGAAAATTCAGACCCTCCCCTGCCACCTACTGTTGATAAGAAAGCTGGCAGATTACTTCAGGTTGTGTATTAGCAGCTAATCTGAACACTAGAAAGCAACGTAAAACTTGCATGCAAGGACAGACAGTAAGAAAATGTTTGTATCCTTACTTCTTTTAACTTACAGTTGCTTTTTGTGAACATGTGTATCAGCTATGTGTGTACTGATGACTTTTTGTTTTTTCTAAGGTGTAAATTAAGCAACACATGGTTTAATCTGCTCATTTCTGATTCCTCCTCGCATCTGAGAAACCTCTTAATCAGTACTTCTGTCTTTCAGAGATGTTGGGACAATAATAAAGCATTATTTCAACAGAATTTAAATAGGATTACAGTAATAATTAAAAGCACAACAAGAGCAGGTAAGTTGCATCTTCCTGAAGCACTGTGTTTGACTTTCACATGGAGCAGCACAGACCTTAAAGCTATGGGATGGTAGAGAGGAAAAAGTGCAATCAGCTCTTCACTGTGTGTTATTCTGTGCAAGCTGCTCTCAGATTGTAAATTAATTTAGATACACAGTGACAGATGAATCCAGGCAGCAATTTTTGAAGCAGGTTCATCTGTGGGAATGGCTACTAGAATTGCACACGATGGGTTTGGTGGGGAGGGAAGCAGGATCCATGGATTCTGAGCTCACATCTCTGCTCAGTGCTGAGGGCACCTCCTTTCTGCAAACGGCTTTGTCAGCCAGATGGAATTTCACCCTGACAAGTCGGTGTCAAATCCTTCCAATAAAATGTTCTTTTCCCCGTTAAAAAAATGTTCTCTGCTTGTCTGAGGTGGTCAAATGGGTTTCTGAGCAGCATTTACTGGAATTCTTTTACAGCAGAAAGTCTGAGAAAAGTGGTTCTGCTCTTCTTAAGAGCGTGTTTGGTTTGATCACTTGAAACAAAGCTGACAGGTGAGCTGGAAGAGTGATTTACAAGCTGCAACAAAAAAAGGACTGTTCACAGAGGTATGTTGAGCTGTTTATTTCACAGTGCCCTTTGCATTTTGCAAATACTGTGCACTGAAACCTCAGTTATTTTTAGGTCTCTGTACTTGGATTTTATTGTTTGCTGCAGTTTGCAGGATAAAGGCTACCTCTGGAGATGGAAGGAACACGACAGAGCAGCAGAACCAATGGGGTGCTGCCAGAGCCTGACTGTAACGTCAGGGCTTAGAAAAAAAGGCTTTTTATAATTAGCTCACACTTAGCAAGCTATCACCCTCAGATTTTGAGCAATTCTGTCATTCTGCCATGTTCTCTTCCTCCAGGTAGGATGGTTTGCGAACACATCCCCGGAGAGTTTAAAATCATTCACCTTCATTAGTGACTACCTGATGACCATTATTTGTGCTTGTTTGGTTTTGGTTTGGGTTGATGTTTCTGGAGGAGAAGGGGGGAATCCATGAGTTCCACAAGGATTTACTGTTCTCATCCACTGCTCTGGAGGAATATATAGACTCAGTTTTTCTTTTTTAAATGCAACTGGTCTCAAAATGTACCTACTGTAATGCACTTTGGTGGTGGATTTTCTGAGTAGTCACATCCTGATGATGAATTTTGCCATTTAAAGAAAACAGAGAAGGTAGGACACTCAGCCATGCAGCAGTTAACCATAGCTCACCCTTTCTGGCTTCGCTACCTTCCCTGTTCTGAACTCTCAGCCCGATGTGTGCAGTTACTCCTGCTGTTTCCCCATGTTTCAGAGCAGGGCTGTGCTGGCTGGTGCTGCTGTAGGTCTGCAGCTCCCCGTGGTTTGTATTGTCTGTTGGCTTGTACTGACAGCTTTCAAAGATGAAAATACGTCTGTCTCAGTTTTATGGCATTTGGCTTTCATTTAGCATTATAGCTCACTATGACAACACAGGAGCGTTGTGAACCTTACTTCCTCTGCAAAACATAGTTTGCCAGCATAGAGAATCAGCACTAGAGGCCCATTGCAGCTGTGCAAGCCTGCAGGACATTTAGCAGCAGTGTATTTGCTTGTATTGAGCCATGCTCTGGACAGTTATTACATGGTGTTGGCTCTATCTCTCTATTTCCCAGGTTTTCAGTCACCCAGCAGTATTTCCATGCAGCCCCATCAGTTTCTTCAGCTATTTCTAAACCACTTCGTTGCTAATCCCTCATCTGGGTACAGCTTGACCCAATTTGCCACCATCCTGCCAGCTCTGCTGATTACGTAAGGAGCAAGAGAAGGCATTTATGTGAAATACATTGCTTGTGTTGTGCAAGGGTGACTTATCCTTTTTAACAAGCCACTTGTTCACGTGTGCACAGTCTTACAGCCATTGTTCATCACGCTGCTCACTCTTTAACCCTTTCCCTTTTCACTTTATCACCAGGTGGCTGTGCTTCATCCCAGCTCCTCCTGCTGCCTGCTCCACCCTGAAGTGTAACTGGCACCACCCCACGTCTCCTGAAGACAAGAAAAAGCTGTAAGTATTTTGTTTATTACTATAATTTTCCTCATGTGTTGCCTACAGCACCCTAGGGAGGCCCTGCAGGGCTCAGAGGCTCTGTTCTCTGCGGAGATAAGCGGGCCTTGCTGTGAAAGCATGGCAGGATGGGTAGCCAGCACCCCACTCCTCACTGATAAGGTGGTTTGGAGTGCACCTTGGGGCTGAGGAGGCTTGAAATGAGGCAGCAGTGGCTCCAGGTGTGTTGCTGGAGCCCTGGCACACACACACATGCAACACAAACTTGGGCAGAAAGAGGGGCAAGGCTCCCTCCCTCTACACTCCAGTAAGAGCAGGATCTATCAGATACAGAACTGGATTTCTGCTTTGATGAATTGAAATCTGTCTAATCTCCCTTCACACTGCATAAACAAATGTCAGCAGGGAGGCACGCTGCCTTCCTATGTACAGTTAGGGTGCTTCCCACAGCACTCCTCTTGCTTTCCACCTGCAGTCGGTTCCAGCTTTCTGAGCTCAGGTATTAGAGTGCAGAGTGTCTCCTTGCACTGAAGTCACAGCCATGCTCCATTTCCTGGCATTCAGCCTTTTCTTTGCCCTTTGTGCCCAGTTACAAGCCCAAGCACTCAGTGGGACTTACAGAAATTTGGACCTTGCTCTTATCCCTGAGAGCAAGGCTTTGGTTTGACCTTTCCTGTTTGATACGTGCCGACCAGTAGCTGCAGTGTAGCCTTCTGGTTCAGACACCTATCTAAAGAGGAAGGATCTCTGTTCTTGTCTCTGCTTCAGTGAGCATTGCCTCTAAGATGTGGCCATTCACACACCCAGCCCCACCAACCCAGCTCCAGGCAGGCTGCACAGATACTGCATTGAAATATAGGAGAAGATGGCAACTTTTTTTCCCCCCTTGATAACAGTGGGTTGAGGTGACTTTAAAGCTGCAGTCCAAGGAAACGGGGGAACCTGAAAGTAATTTATTAACTAAGTCTCTCTAATACTTGCCTAACCTTTAGTACAATAAACCCATTTTAACAAATATTTACACATCTCCTTACTCCCCCAAGCCCCAAAATGTGAGGGAAAAAATGTTTTTTTAATCCTCTCCACCCTCAAGGAGTTTGGCCCAAAGGACACGAATGTCCTGCACTCCCATCACCTAAACTCTTACAGTCGCTCTTCTGACTGTTCTCTTTGCATACTTGAGATGCAATAGAAAAATAGGAGCATTTCAGTGATACATTGTCTTTAAACATTAACAAAAAGGCTTCTAAGTAAAGCCTTTAATATCTGATATGGATACTTCTGATGGTCAAGAACATTTGTGGTTCAACTGTAGAAAACAATCTGGATGTTACAAGTGTGTTATTCCTTTGGAAAAAAAATAAAACACCAACCAGGCCATTGCTGCCTTATTTGGGCTCTTTTTTAGCCTTTGCTATTTTAGAATTAGCTCTTAACCATCTCCAAGGGAACGAGGCATGGGGGGACATAGGAAAAAGCAGTGATGTGGATACTACAAAACACGTCAACAAGAAGTTAGAACGTATTTATTTCTTCCACCTTTGAAATGCATAGAAACGGATCTGTGTGGGGAGCTGGGGCAGCTTTAAAGAGCAGCAAGCAGAGCGGTGCCAGGTGGAAGTGGCAGGAGTACTGGCTGCAGTCAGTGCCTTGTGCTCCACACCCTGGGTAGCTGAACAGTAGGAAAGGAGAGCAAACAAGAAAAACAAAGGACAGGATTTTATTTTTTTTTCTTTTGTCACTAATGGAAATCAAAAGCTATAAGGAAGCCAACAACAAAAAAGCATGTGGGCTGGCCCCCTGCCACTTCTGCTCCTTATTGCTGCTTTTCTATCTAACAACTGCTATTTCATGTCAGCTGCCAGGTTCTGCTTCAGCCTTCGCTGCTTGATATTTCAAAATCTGTATGGTAATCCTGACATCCAGTTCCATTTGTTAGTGTATTTTATTAGGAAGAACTGAAGTCAAACGTGCCTGTTAGCTATCAGGGCATCACAGTGGTTACTGATGAAAGTGCACAGTGTTTTTCTCTATTCTGTATTTCAGAACACAGCTATTGGGTAATGAAATAGCAAGTTGTCATTCTGCTGTACTAGCAATCTGACTGTGGGATCTCAGCTATCAAGATCCTTTCAAAAGAAGCAGTGTTTATTCCTGAGCCAACAGCACATAATCAGAACGGTTTTCTCAGACTTTGCTCTGCACTCAGTCAGCAGCAAATGAAAAGGCATCGCCTTGTACGCATCTATTCACACTGAACTGTGTGAATGCCAACAGAAAGGAGGAGCCTGCCAGCAAGCTCAGTGCTTGGAGCACATCGTGCTTACAGCCAGCAGCAATGCCAGTTTTGGAGGACCACTGGGTCCCCCAGAGGGAAACAAGGAGCGTAGAGTCGTTGCCTCTGTCAAAGGTGCTGCTATGACACGTTACTGTCACTTGTGAATGACCTGGTGAAGCATAAGGCCAACGTAACCTAGGGATAAGCTGGCAGGCAACCCTGCCTACCTGAACTCATTAGTTACAGCAAATGACTGCTGCTTACAGTAGCTCTTAGCTTGATGCTCTAACAGGCTGCAGTCAGCACTCCAGGGCACTCAGAATGATCTTAAGGCTCTAAGAGAGCAGCTGGCAACGAAACAAAAGTTCTTCCCAAGTTGAGAGATGTAAAACATTCACAAATCCCTACCTGCTAAAACCAATCCATTAATTAGTTATCTACCAAGCAGCAAAGAATGAACAAGAGTCCATAGGAGGATGATGAGGAATGAAACTGCAACCAAAACATGGCTCTCAAAGTGTCCCAAATGATCTTTGGAAAAAACATACATACAACTGTATGGTTCCATTTACTTTACTTGAATTAAATTAAAAAAATGTATTTCCATATTACACTTCTTTTGCCTCTGAATCAGTCCTGACAGAAGAAAAAGTATAACTTTCCCATCCTCTTGAAATTGAAACATAGTAGTCTGTGGGCCCTGAAAAAAAAATTGCTTTATTCCACTGCAGAATGGAAAAGACCTCAGCAAGAGACTCTGTTGTCAGACAGCACTCTCCAACTCTTTGCATTGCCCTCCACGGCTTCCAGTTTCCAAACACACCTACAGCAATCTCTGGAGTTGCTGGACATGCACCTTGACAGTAGGAAATCCAAAATGTGTTCTTGCCCAGTGAACACTGGCACTGCTCGTGAAGTCTGAACAGAGTGCTCTTGTCTAACGAGGTTGGCTCAGCAGTCCTGCTTTCGCTGCCAGAGCTTCGTTCTGCTGAATGTGATACTCCTGAAATCTCATGGAGATCCTCTGTGTCATTTTCAAGTACTTCTGTAGGCAGTGTTCTGAGCAAGTTATCTGGAGGAAGAGGAAAACAGCTTCAGAGAGTGATGGAGACGCCCTCCTCAGCAGAATCCCAAGTGAAATAGTCAGGTATATAATATGAACTGACTACATCTCATGGTCTGTGTTCAGACCTAACTGTTCAGCCTCTCTGTGCAGTAGAAAATGGGAAGCTTAGTTTTTTGAGGAATGCTTGAAATGTCTTTTAATTTTATTCTCATAAAAAGGCCTTCATGAAAAACGTCTTGGAGCCAGGAGATGTTAACACTTCATCCCTTGGATTGCTCTTGTGAAGTGGAAGTACACAAAGGATTTTATTTTGCAGTGAGTACTAAACCTAAGAAAGGTTGTTTTTGTGTTGTTTCCCTCCTCTCTTTCTGAATCCTGGTTTGCAAACACTAATTTTTGACAGCCAGATCTGCTCTACTGTGTGGTAGCTCAGGTTAATCTTTTTTTGACCTTGTTCCTATTAGCTCTAGCAGCCTGGTTCACCTTCACAGGACAGCCCCTGAAGTGCTACCAGACAGCTTGCTGGATAGGGGACAAACACCAGGGCCTGTTCCACAGCTGCTGTCGTGTTTTCAAGTGAGGGCATTTTATTTTCTCTTTCAATAATTGTAGAGAAAAAGCCATGGGATCTATTTCTGAGTTACAGTTCTACAGTCAGATATTCAGTTCCAAACCTTTCAGTCACTGTAGAAGTCATCACACTTAAATACAAAAGATGAGCACCTTGCATGATTACCAGAAAACCAGAAACTGCTTTAATGCTGCTCAGTATAAAGGGATGTGGAAAGCAGAGATGATGGAAGAAAAACAAGATAACCTGCAACTGTACATTTTCTCCATTCTACTTTCTCTCTCCCTGACCTGGCATCAGTTACAGTAAAACCTGTTCAGCAGGAGTTAAGTCTGACTAGGAAACAAATGCTGTTGGATTCTAGAAGCACCCCAAGCCACATCTCCCAGAGGGTGTGGTGTCTGTGATGCCCTGCCTGGGGAAGCCTAGACTTGTAGTGAAGAGTGCAGTATGGAACGAGGGCAGCAGCTGCTTTTACAAATGCAGAATCTCCAAGATCCACAAAGGCATTTATCTTAATTCTTAAAGTATGACTTTAAATAGGAAATTAGGATCAGAGCAGACCAGTCATCCACTCAGACCAATATTCCACATCCACGAGGGCCACAGCCAGGTGCTTTGCAGGAAAAGCATCCAGCGTAGCTCGAGCAGCTAAAATGAGCTGGTGAAAGACAATGGCAAAACCTTATCCAGAGTAATTCTGACACCTGCATTCGAGAACGTTTCCAACAAAGCAAATGCAGAGAATTTTCATGGGAACAAATGATCTGTCTTGGGAAGCCAGGAGAGCTTGGTTTAGCGCAGCAAAACAAAAGCTGAACGGAGAGATGATTTCTGCCTGCACTGAGGGACAGCTGTTAAACTCTAAGGAGGCAGCAAATGCTCAAACACAACGCAGGTTTAAATCTTTGTGTGTGGTTTAGGTGGTTTTTGGGTGTTTTTTTTTCCTGGTAGCAGGAAAGCTGGAGTTAAGTAAAGCTATTAGACTTTTAACCAATTATATTAATTATACCAGTCTGAAGCCTCCCAGCAAGCAACAAAAGGCCAAGGACAACATGCAACTCGTGTGAGCCAGAGCCTTTTCTTCTGGCAGATGGGTACGTGATGGAGCTCCCTGCACTGCAGGCAACTGGACTGAGCAGCCAGAGCTGTGGGGGCAATAGATTTCCACCAGCACACCTCCCTGCTCACTGCATGCCAGAACACTTCCACTCCTCCAAAGACAGCTGATGAGCTTTTCAGCTAACTGGAAGATGCAAACTGTCCAAATCACTTCTGAAATTTGAGTATTAAACAGAAATTCTGCCTAAAGGTAATTAAAAGCATAGGAAACATTTACATACCTCTTCTGGTTTAACTTCTCTGGTGGTGAAATCCCTTATACAATCCATGAAGCAATTTTCTGTAATTTTATTATATGTTCCCAGGAACTCCTTGAACTGCATTAAAAATTGAAAACACCATTAAAAAATATCTCTGTCTCCATTCATTTTTTTCCTTATGCACAGCTCCATGAGCTGCTTGGTGATGGTGACATTCAAAGGACAACTCATCAGAAACAACTTACTTCCAGCAGCAGATTCAGCACCAAATGCTGTTAGTGCTTAAATAGGCCCAGTGCTGTATGGGACAGGTGTGAGTGTTGCTTGACAGAGAATTAATCTCATCCCAGAGGACAACATAGAGAGGTTTTCCTCCTGCCCCATGCCCTGTGCCTTTTGCTCTATGTGACAGATGCACCACTCAAGAACACAGCACTCACCTGCTTGATCTGATCAGTTTCTGATATTTGTCCAGCCATATTCTGCTCTCTGTGATTCTGCCACCTGTTCTGAAGATAAAAGTTGAGTTCTGCACAAGAAACCATACACACACCACAACATTTTTGAAGAGAGCCAAGCTGTACATGTTCCCTAAGTGTACTTAAATGCAATGGTGTCAGCAAACTTTCAAGCCACCCACATAAAGTTTTCTGACTTGTATTCAGCTAAAAGAATATCCAGGATAGTTCCAGATGTTGAGTTCTTTCCAGATCTACCTGCTAACTGCTGTCCTTTTAACACTTTATACATTTGGAACAGCTGAAATGACTACATGGGAGGGTGGAGAAAGGTGTGGAATGTTTATAAAGGCTTTCAAATACATGAAGTACAACTGGAGTGGAGGAGAAGCAAGCAGGAACGTTATCTAGCCTTCTAATTCAGTGACTTGAGCTGTCATTTGCAGAAAGAACTGTAAGGCAAACAAATATAAACCAGTGCCAACTCTGAATGAACTAGCATGGATCAGAAATGGATGAATGGATTCAGGGCAGCTGCATTCTCACCAAACACTTCAACTAGCGCCAGCGTTCTGGTCACTGAATGTAGCATGTGAAATTCAAGAAATGGTAACAAATTGAGGGCAGCCTTAAAGAAAGAAAAACAGACAAATGAAAAGGGAAGAACGAGCAGCCAGGGATCCAAGAATTTAAGCAAGCATCCTTAAGGGTGGCTCGCATTCCTCATCTAACACCATAAACAAGTTAAAGCTTGAAAGTGCACCTCTAGGCAGCCTTCAAGAACAGTGAAAGCATGGCCTCCTTTCCCATGCTTGACATATTACCCAAGGCCTATCACCCACGGTAATGTCAGTTAATGTTACACCTCGAAGAGAAGATGATCCTTCAGTTTTATTCACAGTAATGAGTGGAAGAAAAATCAGTGCCAAACTATAATGACTTTGTGAAGAAAGCTCCTTCAGCCCTCTAGCGAGTGCAACTGCTAATTACTGTGAACAAGAACAAAGTGAGTTATTTCTACAAGAGAAAGAAGCAATTAAAATAGCACTGCGGAGCTCCTGCAAGCATGCAGCCACCCTCCTCCTCCCAGTAGTGGAACAAGGGTAATATCTGCCTCTTAAAGTTACACTTCATTGCTATGTGTGTAGCGATAGAATTGAGGGACTGGAGATAAGGAGCACGTGTGGTTCTTGGGTTTAAGATCTCCATCCCCGTGACCAAGAAGGCCTCACGAGGCAATGGATTACTCTGTTTTAAAGAGAACCTACGAGATATGATTACTGAGAAGCAAAGCATTGCTGAGGTTATTGTAACCTCTCACTTGTTTTAAGAGAAGTGGACACAAATGTCATCTGGGAGAACTGCTGAAATGAGGGCAGTTCTACTCTCCCATTTCTCTGTCTGTTACAAGAGAAAAAAACAGTGAGAATGCTGCCAATCCACTTTATGTTGATGATTAAACAGACAGCCCGAGCCCACAAGGTACAGAAAAGACTTTTGTCCTCTCCCATGCACCGAAAGTTAACAGCTCCAGACCCTCCCTGTGCCTTTCTCACACTCAGTATTGCTTCACTGTGTTTGCTTACAACAAACCTGAAGTTTTCCTCTTCTGTCACTTGTTTGGCAAGCTTAAGATTATGCCCAACTGAGTTGCAGCTCCACAACGCCTGTACACTTGCACTTGGGAAGCAGCTCTGACTTAAAACAACCTAATGGCACCATCTTATTTTACATGTCTGAAGCACCAGTCCCTCTGCAGCTACTTTGTGCAGCGCAGGCAGTGAAATTATATGGCTTTAGTGCACATCTTGGTGCGTGGTCAAGGACCATTGGTGACTGCAAAGCCACACTTGAAATCATGTGGATCATGAGGAAAGCAGCAGTAGCTGGGAGATCCCATCTCAAAGAGCCCTGGTGCTCCTCCAGGTGAGTTGTTACATACCAGAGAGATGTTCTTTTGAAAAGAAAACTGAGCAAAAGCAGGGGGCTCAAGAACCATACAATGGCTTGGGTCAGAAGGGATCTCAAAGATAATGTGACCGGAGCAGGATTAATGGGACAGGCAGGGTTACCAGCCACTACATGGGGCACCAGCTCAGGCTGCACGGAGCCCATCCATGGCCTTGGGCACCTGCAAGGATGGAGCACCCGCAGCTCTGTGCAGCAGTGCCAGGGCCTCTGAATGATGAGTTTCCCCCTGACACCTAATCTGAATCTCCCCTCTTTTGGTTTAAAACCACTCCCCCTCCTTCTGTTATTGTCAGACGTAAAAAGTTGGTTTCCCTCCTGCTTAAAGCTCTCCGTAAGTACCGCAAGGCCTCAACGAGGTCTCCTCGCAGCAACAGGTCAGCAGTGATTCCCTAATCTTGACTCAACAGCATCCTTTCCCATGGAAACAAAACAAGCTCTGTTTCCCTCTTCCCGCCCAGCCCTCTCGCGGAACTCGTTCCTTCGCTGTCTGTGGCGGCGCAGCTCTGCCCCCTAGCGGCGGCATTGTGCAATGCAGGAGGCAGCGAGGCGCCCTGACGGGGCCTCCCGGACCGCCCGCACGGGAATGCCATCCAACAGACAAGAAGCGCTCCTCCACGCGCGGCCTGCCGTTTCAGTCGCGCCAGGCCTGCCCGATGCCTGCGGTTCCGAGCGCTCCGCGCCCGCGCTAAGGTAAAGCTCCTCGCTCTTCTCCCACATCCCTCAGCTCTCCCTTTCAAGGGCACCTCGCACCCCCTGCCCGCGCGGCCCGAGGACGCGGCCCTTCCCCGCCGCTGAGGAACGCGACTCCTCGCAGCTCCCGCTCCGCGCCTTCCCGCCGCCCGCGCGCGCACTCACCGCACCACCACGAGTCCGGGCCGCGCGGGGGGAAGGAGAGACTCGGCTATCGGCCCGCCGATTCGACAAAAAGCCCCGCGGCGAATCAGGGAGCGCAGCGGGCTCACCGATAGCTTTACCTCGTGGGCGGCGCGCGACAGGAAGTGCGTCAGAACGGCGCGCCTGAGGGGGAGCGGGCGCCGTTGCCATGGCGGCGGTTGCAGCCGGCCCTGCCTCGCGCGGCCCGTAGGGTTCGCCTTTAGAACACCGCCGACCGCCTCTCCGCTACGAAGCCTTCATGGCAGCGGAGAGCAGCTCCAGTATCAGCTGGGACTCGCTGAGCAGCCTGACGGCCGGGGATGTGCTCGTTCGCTCCACCGGTGCCCACGGGGCGAAAGGCTCTGGAGGAGGCGGGTGCGGGAATGGCGTTGCCGTTTGTGTAACGAAGCTCCGCGAGGCGGTTCCGTCTGGCCAGACGAGCGGTGTGGTTTTGGGTCGAAGGGAAACGCCATGCGTGCCTCCGGCCGTGTCATTGTCATCAAACAGGGCTTCGAGCTGTAGCGTCGCCGATGTCACGCCCTGCAGCGCCGCACCAGGTATTCATTTGTTACATTTATTTTTCGTTTGTTGGACAAATTCAGGTTAGGTTTAATCTATTTAAGATTATATAATCTACTGTTTTCTGTTACAGAGCATTGTAATTTTGGAAGCCCTGCCTGCACTCTAATGTTATCAACATCAGCATTTTTACAGTGCTTTTCCAATGGTTGTGCGTGCCTTTGATTGGTGCAGAGTTCCTCTAGCAGCCCCCAGTCCTCGCTGTAGATTCTTAGTGCTTAAAAAGCATAGAATCACAGGATGTTCTGAGCTGAAAGGAGCCCGCAACCATCACTGAGTCCAACTCTCAGCTCCACACAGCACCACCCAAACCCAGTGGCTGAGAGCAGTGTCCCAAGGCTCTCTGATCTCTGGCAGCTCAGGGCTGTGTCCACTGCCCTGGGCAGCCCATCCCATGCCCACCACCCTCTGGAACACAGCCTTTCACTAATCCCCTCGATCCTCCTCTGATGCAGCTCCACGCTGTTCCCTCAGATCCTGTTGCCATGACCAGAGAGAGAAGATACAGTTTCCAAATCAGAAAAATTGCAACCATCTGTGTGAAAATGATCACTGGTAGCATTCAATAAACCATTTCCATTTCATAAGGTTCAGGTAGATGACTGTGGTCATAGAATCACAGAATGGCCTGGGTTGCAAAGGAGCACAATGCTCAGCCAGCTCCAACCCCCTGCTGTGTGCAGGGTCACCAACCAGCAGCCCAGGCTGCCCAGAGCCACATCCAGCCTGGCCTTGAATGCCTGCAGGGATGGGGCATCCACAGCCTCCTTGGGCAACCTGTGCCAGTGCCTCACCACCCTCTGGCTGAAAAACTTTCTCCTTACATCCAACCTAAACCTCCCCTGTCTCCATTTAAAACCATTCCCCCTTGTCCTATCACTATCTACCCTTGTAAGCAGCCGTTCCCCTTCCTGTCGTTTGTGTTATGAAAGTTGTTATATTTAGATAAGTATCAAGCAGAGAACAGACTGAAATTTGAGTTAATCAGGGGACAATGAAAATACATTCAAGATCATTTGAACCACAGTAAAATTGCTTTTATTTTAGGAGTCTGGAGTACTAAGGGTCACCCAGAACATTTGCTTTTAGTGGAAGATCCTGTGGAGGCCATCTTTGTACCACAGATGGTAAGAAAGTCACTGTTGCTTCCCACAACCCTGAGCTGAGAGATCAGCATTTTTCTCTGAAAGTTGCAGCTTCTGTAGAAGCACAGCAGAACTTGAGCTCCACTTCTGAATGAAAAGTACCCAGTTGCTGCTAATGTGATATTCATGCTGAAGTGTTTGGAGGGGATTTATTTACTGTATTGCTGCCTGTTGCATAGTTAACACCCAGGTATGTTTTTAAATTTTAGTGCAATTCCCCCTCTGAAAAAGCTGTTGCACGTTTCATAATATTCATTAGTAAAACCTAAAGGTTCGTGGTTTTCTTTCTTATTCACCTCATAGGTATTGAAATAGACATTGATTTACATAAACTACTTAATATTTGTGATTAGAAGGTTTATTTTCCTTTGATTTGTTCATTGTGTCTTCCATATAATGGAGGTCTGCCTGTAGGGCATTCATTCTGCAATGAGAATTATGTTTTTAGCTTCTATCCCTGCAATGTCGTGGAAATTATTGAGTGCAAAGTCCTTATGGCTCTGTGATAGTGGGAAGCCTTAATGTATTCTGTTCACTGTGTTCAGTGACTGTGTGTTACTGCACTGTGGAGTCACTTACACAACTGTAAGTGTATTCAGCAGTTCTGTCTCCTTGTGAAAATCTGGCCATTGATACTGCAGGCTTTGATGTGTGCTTTTCTACTCTTCTTGTTTTTGAAGGATTATCCTAAAGAAGCTGCAGGTAATCCTAAAGAAGCAGGTCATTCACCAGAAGACAGCAGGAGGCCTGAAAGTAAGACAAATCGATGTACTGCTACGGCTCTTTTTCCATAAGACTGGTAGAGGAGAAGCAGGCTTTGTTTCATAGATACTTTTCTGCAATGTAGAAGTTCCTGACTGCAAGTATTCAAAAAATGGCTTTGATTAAAAATAATAATAATAATAATAGTAATTTATATTTTTAAATGTTGCAAACTTTTACTTTCTGTCTTTTTGTCCATCCTGTGGATTGTGTAGCCCTTGTGATGAAGTGGGACTTCCACCAGCACACCAGAAACTTCGAGATTCGTTTTGCTAATTGAACTAATTCTCATTTCTGCATAAAGACTTTCTATATATGTTTGTTTATTTGTTTTGAGGACCTTGTTTGTGTGTGTTTTCCTGTTGTGAGTAAATCTGCTTCATGTCATTTTCTGTGAGCAGCCATGAGAAGTAAGTTTTTGACTTATAACAGTCTAGGAAATACGTTGTGGATGCCTTTTCCTGTAACGTCTGACTGTGCAGTCAGTTTCACTCAGATTTGTGGCTTTTAAAAGGAAATACATCTCTGAAGGTTTTTTGGCTGGATGGGGGAGAAAAGCAGAAATGGCTCCCTTTGCTTAAGGCAAGAAGCAATGTTTTGACTTCCTCTTCTATGACTCAGGGAGGCAGCAGCTGTCTGGCTTAGCAGCACGTGTGTTCTACCTGTCTAAATAGCAGCAGTGAAACAGTGAACCCATCACATCTTGGACCAGTTCCACACAACTTGATAGCTGTTTTTTCAATTACATTTATCTCAAGTTGAAATGTGCAGGGTTCCATTGCATACATTGTTTGAGCTCAAGTTGCCATTTACATGACAATCTTTTTCAAATATTATTAGGATAGGGTGATGTCGTCATTTACAGAGCATACAAAAATTGCTTCTATTAATACCAGCATTCAATACTATGTAAAACTGTGTTAAATGAAATCTACCTGTTGATTCAATAACTCTTTGTGTCTACTTCTGAAATGGGTGCTGTGTATTAGTTAACCTGACAAAATGTGGTTTATATCCTTCCACACAGATGATGTTTTAATTTCTCGGTATCCTACTGGACAGAAAGAAGCATTGAGAGCAGCATTAAAGCAAAAGTAAGTCTGTGTTGTTGTACCATTCTGTTTTTATGTTAATAGTAGGTACTTCCTCAGTTTCTGCCAAAACAGAAGAGGAGTCAGCTCTTTGAAAGGGTAGATAACTGCAGGACAAGGGGAAATGGCTTTAAGTTGAGGGAGGGAAGATTGAGGTTGGATGTCAGGGGGAAGTTCTGTGCTGTGAGAGTGGTGAGGTGCTGGAACAGCTGCCCAGAGAGGCTGTGATGCCCCATCCATCCCTGGAGGTGTTCAAGGCCAGGTTGGATGGGGCCCAGGGCAGCCTGGGCTGGTATTAAATGGGGAGGTTAGTGGCCTTGCATGCGGTGGGGGGCTGGAGCTTCGTGATCTTTAGGTCCCTTCCAACCCTGGCCATTCTGTGATGATTCTATGAACATGTAGGCTGTCTTTAAAGACCAGTGTGGATATATGCTGTTCATCTGTAGGCTGGAAATCTTCAAGATCAAGTATGTTATAGTAGAGCTTTGCTACTAGCATGCTGTTCTTTGCAAAATGCAACTTGTTAAACATATTCTTTGCTGTGGTCATGGAAATACCACATGGAAATGCCTTTTTATATTGAAACTGTAACAAAGAATCATAGAATGGCTTGGATTGGAAGGGGCTTCAAAGATCACCTGGTTCCAACCCCCCTCCTGTGGGTATAACCCTGAGAAACCTCTAGTGTCATACCAAATTATGGGAATAATTTTATTTCATGGGTATCAAAATCTTCACGGAGTAATGCTTATATAACTGGTGATTCTGGTGTTAAATGGGGGAAAAGAGTGGATTTTAAGAAAACAGTGTTATTTACAGGACCCTGTTTGTTTTTACAGAACACGAAGTGCTCCTGTATTTAAGGAGGTGAAGGTGCAGCTCTTAGGAAATGCCTCCCCTGAAAGAAAGGAAGGTGTTGGTCAGGACCCCAGCTCAATGCACAGGGAAGCTGATTCTGCAACAACCATTGCAGCAGCAACTGCTGCTGCCATTGCTACCACTGCTCCTCTTCTTAAAGTGAGTCAGCAGCTTGTGGCAATGGTAGTTCTTTGCCCACTTTGAACCAGTAGATCTTCTAAGCAGACTTGAAGTGATTGGTGGTAGAACTGAATATCTGCTTACTGTTTTCTGTGCTGATGATCTCAGACAGCTGACCATCACAGCAGAGACAACTGCTTGGGGTTTGGCTAAATGGGATGTGGCTGCATATGGATGGAGGCCATTTGATTTATCTCTCAGAAGAATTTCATAGTGCTGTTAAGCTACCAACATTAAAGCTAACTGATATTTTGTCTGTCTTTTGGGAACCAAATCACTCCTTGAT